AATAAATAAATAAATAAAAATAAAAAAATAAAAAATCCAGGCTTTGGAAAGGGCACAAGTTCCACCACAGCTCTCACTATGCAGCTTGGAGAAGGTGCAATACTCTCCAATTCCACTGTTACTGTTAACCTAAGTAATGTTTGCAAATTTCATAACCTAGTAAACAATTTAGGGCTGTCATGTCTCCTTAAAGGTATTAAACAGTCTGCAGATTTCACGAATGAATTTATCAAGTTATGGAAGTGAAAGCACAATGTTTGACATTATATAATAATCATGATACATAGAAAAATGGAAGCTCAACTATGACCTATTTTAAAATTTAATCCAGTGTTCCAATTACACAAGTGCTGCTTCTGATGTTTCCAAAATGTCACTATTCTCAGAAAAGGGAACTTTTCTGCAAGAGGTTTCTCATACAGATGAAATACAGTTTAACCCAAACAAAACTGTGTGGATCTCTCCAGTACTAATTAAGTTCACACATTTGGTTCCGAAGAACTGAATTCTGAATGTGATGCATAGTAGTGAGTCACAGTGCATACACTGGTGGATTCTGCAACAGCTGCCAAAATGAACATTAGGTAAATGAGATTTACCTTAGGGGTTATAAACTAGTGATAAATGCTAGGGTAGGAATGTGGTTAGCCAGTAGGCCATTCAGTAAAGACCTTAAAATACTTTCACCATTAGGAAGCCTCTAGGCACACAAGGAAAATAATGATTGGCAATTTATTTTGCTTTAGAGACAGGGTCTTGTTATGCAGTTCAGGTTGACCTTGAGCTCACTTTGAGCCCAGGCTGGACTCAAACTCACAGTGATCCTCCTGCCTCAGCCTCCCCCGTGCTGAGATTACAAGGTTTGTGCCACCATGCCCAGCATGACTATTTAAAGATATAGCCTTACTCAGCCCAACAAATCATCTTGGGCCAATTAGATTTATCTACTCCCATAAAAAGCAGAAGTCAGGTGGTGTCACTACAAATTTATGGTTTTCAAGCTATACTGTCTATTGTTACCTTTCTCATCCCTGACCAGACTATCTGCAAAATCCTTGCTATTCCACAGACATCTCATCTAGTAAACTAGGCTATTATTTCCCAGGGGAAATTTGAGGATGGAAGAAATACAGAAGAAATTGCCCATTAATGCATTCAAATTCTGGGTTTGGTGACTTAAGAGAAAGGGTCTAACTTCAAAATCTAACTGATGCTTTTCCTGTACTGATTTTTGTTCCTCTAGGGGCTTCAAGTTAATTTCCAGAAAATACTAGTTAATAGGCTCATGAAACCTTGAGACCTGCATTCCTTCTGCTCCACAAAAGGAATGTGTTAAACTAAAAAGACACCAAAAATTTTTTTGTATTTATTGATTCTAATTGTTTTCTTATCCACTATTTTCTTTTATCCTCTTTTTTATTCTGTAAGTTTTCATTTAAATACTTAAGTTTTGTTTTCTTGTCTTATTGTAAATACATAAAGCCTTAGTCTGGAAATCTTTAGGTGAATCATTTTTTAGTAGTTTTCATCCTGGGGGCTGGGGAAATGGCTCAGTGGAATAAGCACTTCCCTGGCAAGTACAAGGGCCTGAGTTCAATCCCCAGTTCCGCCAAAAAAAAAAAAAAGTTTTCATCCTACTTACTAGTCTGCAATTTCAATATTTGTTTGAACCCCAGGAAAATCTTAAGTATCTTGGTGCTTAGGATTTGTGTGACAGATGGGATTAAAATCAGGGCCTTTATTTACATCACTCAGCATTTGACAGGGTCTTGTGAAGTGCCTAAATTGTCCAGGCTGGGTTCAAACTTGTGATCCTCTCACTTGAGCCTTTTAAGTAGCTGAGACTATAGGCATGTGGCACTGTAACTGGCTTTGGTTTGAAAACAGTGTGATCAGAAGATGCTTTCTGCATTCTTTTTAATTGAGCTTACACTTTACAGTGTAATGCATGGGCAATTTTTGTGATTGTTCTAATGAGCACTTGATTAAAAAGTTTTACAGTAACTATTAGGTCCACATGGTTATGTGGTCTTTTTTGGATCTTTTAGCTGTCCTGACACATCAGTTTTAGCAGCACTATAAGTGCTTTCCACATGCTTGATATATATATATATATATATATATATATATATATATATATATATAGTACAGGGTCTTACTACCTAGATCAGACTCAAAATTTCCTGGGATTACAGGTATATGCCACCACACCTAGTCTCAATCGCTATCTCAGTGCATGTGGAGGAGGGGCTGGCACAGTGGTGACTGAACCCCAGCCGCTGTGCCACATGCTTAATCGGTCAATCAGAGACCAGCTTCTGTATTTTTTTTTTTAAATTTGAGAACTATTTAATAGAGTAATATTAAATTTCTTTTGACATACAACCAGACACTTTTTTTTAAAATTTATTTTCGTGTGTGTGTGTGTGTGTGGCCCACCAGGGGGTGGGGCTGGCTGGCATGTGGTGCTGGGGGATTGAACCGCAGTCCCTGTGCTAAGCTTGTTCTAAGTAGGTGCTTTAGACCACTGAGCCATCTAACCAGCCCGACAACCAGACATTTCTAAGGAAAATTTTGAACTTGGTTAGTGAGCTGTTTTGATCTAGAGGGCTTCTCTTATAAGCTCACAAAGGGCATAACTCCCCAATCTATCTCTGTCTGCCACATTTGTTCCAAGCCTTCTGTACAACACCACATAATCAGCAAATAGCATGGAGTAGCCTTAGGAATATGTGGTGGATTAACTAATGGTCAATTTGTAACATCCAGCTGTACTGAATCAGCAGTGTCCAGGGTGTGAATGGACCACCTGAGGATTGTTGGCAACAGCATAAAGACAATTGGAGGGGAAGATGCTGTACTGTTGATTCTGCTGGAGAAGCTTGTCACACCGGCTTTCCTGATATGAACTTGCCTGTTCTGTCAGAGGAGCTTGGTTCCTTGTTGTCACTGAGGATGGCTATGATTCTTTTTGGTGGAGGTGTGGTCCTTAACCTTGAGCACAGCTTCCCAGCTTCAGTGCAGATTCCTCAGCCTGCTGGCACACATTTTATCCAGTTGGTGTACTTTTTAGCTTTCACCACTAGCCTTTGTGCCTTCCCACTGCAGACTGCTAGTACAGACTTGTGCAAGACATTGTTGCAGGCTCTACGCCTCCAGGTGGACTCAGGGGCATTGCCATGGCTCTAGGTCTTCAGCTGGACTCATGTAGGATGTTGCTGTGGGAGCCAGGCCCTCTGCTGGAATCTCTGGATCTCTACTGTGTGGGTGGAGTTCCTGCACTCTTCTGTACTTGACTTCTTGGGTGAAAAATCTTTACTGAAGAACTACTATGTGCCAGATAAACTAGGTTCTAGGCTTTAGGCATATAAGGCAGAAATTATCCTGCTGTAAGTAGCATGGATAACATATAGGCTGTGGCTGTGCCTTACTGCTGTGCCATCTTCTTTCCGCCATGAACTGTTTCTTCTCTGCAGTGCGGGTCTCCTGTGTCACTCTGCCTTGGAACCAACCAACTATGAACTGAAACAGCTAGGAACTGCTACTGAAATTTTTTTTCCCTTAACTTTAGAGTGTCAGATACTTTGTCTCAGCAATAAGAAAACTAAGACAGCTGTAATAAAGTATTTTAGGTCATGGTCTGCCCAAGCTAGTAAGCATACAGGAGTGTATGTGAGGACTCAGGAGATAGTGCATGGCCGTACTGTGCAGAAATATGACACTAATATGACACTTTTTTTGAAGACAGGGTACCACTCTCGTTTTCTCTGTTACTCTAGTCCTCTAATAGGACAGGACAGTAGGGAAAGGCACACTCAGGAACACTAATCAGAAGAGCTTTGGGGAATTTATTTGCCCATTTTCTCGCCTCATTAACCTGCAAACAACTGGAGTACAGCATACACTGGCATGCATGTTTAAGAAACAGCAAATACTTCAACATTATCTTAAATGAAGCAGGTAAAGCTGCTGCAATGTATTTTACAGCCAGACTTACTGGTTATTTGCACCATGATTTTCTTATGCAAAACAGAACTAATCACACACAAGGACACTTAGCATACTGAAATATAAAATATATACACTACTACATTTTCTTTTAAGAATAAAATATAACACTAACTTTGAGATTTGGAAACTGATTGAAAATGTTTTTATATGACATAGAAAATAAAAATATATTCTTCTTTATAAAGTTAAGGAGACTGATTTCCAGGAATGAGTTTTAAAATTTAATAAGAAGTCATGTTGGACAGTCTAAATGTCTAACAGCATCTTATAGCTACTTTTATCTTAAAGCATCTGAGTAACTATGGCCACAACATTCAATTAATTAAAACTTTAAATTGCATCCTTTATCACTACTAGACTCAGAACTATGTTTTCTTCCCCCTGCAAGTGTGGTTTATTATAATCTTATTCCTCATAGACCATTCAACACATTTATACTATTCCAGTAATTACCATGCTACCCAGAAAAACAAGTAAACAGTTTATTTAGAATTAAATGAGGGTATGGAATGTGATACAGGATAAGACACTTAAGATGGGCATAATGGTACTACAGACACACACAAAAATAAATTCCACTTCAAAAAAAAAAAAAAATCACAAGACAAAAGAAAAAGCAATTCCATAACTTTAAAGGTATTTCATGCAAAGCACTGAAAAATAACCCTCAACCCCAGCCATCCAATAAATGAAAAGCTACCTGAAAATACTGCCATGCTAACGTACTAACCACAGTATAATAATTCATGGAAAAACAATACATTAATTAAGCAATGTGGATAAGATGAAATAACACAGTTTGTAATACTGTAAGCTAACAGACCACAATGATTTCAGATGACAACTGCAGATTCACTCACAGGGTAATATAGGCTAAATGTTGAGAGAGAAGATATGTAAATATAAATTCTATTAATTCATTTCATCATCTCCTAATTATAAAACTTACGATGCTTAGAGAACTTGAAAAATGTATATAAAACTTGGCATATTCCATTTGTCTTCCAAGAAATGACTGTAGCATCAATATTTGCAATTAGTAAAGAGATATACAAAAGTACTTCAAAGGTCAGGATTTGACTTCTTAAATATGATCACAACTTATATCAGAAACAACTCCAGAAATGCATTTACTTGGATTTAACTCTTATTCAGCACTCTGTATAATCAAGGGATCAGTTACATACGGAATAAAACGTGAAACACAGGTGAACTTGGACAGAGTGTGACATCTCCTTTACAAAGACTAAAGTGGGTAAAATCTTTCCTTGACTTCTGAAGGAGCTAAGGCCAACAGGCTCTGTACTAAGATACTTGAGTATGCTTTATGGAAGAGAGACTTACTTTAGAAAACAGGAATGACATTTTATGGGGTATTCTTTTCACAGCTGCCAAACTGCACACAAGCCTGGTCACCATGTGGAGCACAAACTGAAAGCACATTCCAACAGGGCGGAACATTAGGAAGGGGCAACTTAGTCTCACTGCATTTGCCCATTTAGGAGGCCATGGAAGGACTAGAGATACCTACACTTACGACTTTTGAGTTTACTTATGGTGTAGCTGGCTATAAATAATAAGGACAAGAAAAAAATTGAGTAAAACAACAGGAAAAAAATACTACAAACTTCCATTTACCATTTTCTCGCCTATTTTAGATGCAAAGTAATTAAAACCAGTTGGGGAATTAGCTGGATTACTCCTCCCAACTCCGAAATTTAACTTCTATTTATACTACATGATAGGAACACCATAAATATTCAAAAGTAATCCCTAAAAAATAGAAGCGTGAAAATCCCTAATTTTCACAGAGTGTCACTGGAAAACCTTCAGATGGAACTCAATGGAGTTTCAGGTCAGAAAAGAAGTTTCTTGAGTAATCAGAATCTACCATAATTAGAGTTCTTTGGAATGTGTATCTTATACATACAAAGGCATCACAAATTACATCCGCAGGGTATTCAAACCTTCCTTAAATGACAAAATATTTTTAATTAGAGATAAATGGTTCCAACAACAAATTAATCTGATAATTCAAAATTTCCCAACAAAGTCTCTACTAACAACTTAGCCTCTGGAATCAAATATAAAGGTCACTCAATCAGGATGATGAAAGGTGAAGTACAGATGAGTAATACATATGGAAAAAATTTTGTAAACTGCTGCAGTGGAGTACATTTATATTACAAAGAAAAGTAAATAAATATTGGACTAGTACAAAAGCTCTTATTTACAGTTTTACAAATGAATTTGTGTTCAGTGTAAATGCTGTGTTTTAAAGAACACAGTACTATTTTAGTAAAATGAGTTCTGTTGAGGGCATTGAGGGAAATGAGTTCCATTAGAATCACTGCATAATGTATAAAAGGTTCAAGTTAACGCTTAATAATTTAGCACAGACAAACCCAGTTTAACCTGGAATGGCATCTGTTAAAGTGCTGAAAAACAGGAACTACTTAGAAAACACTGTACACTATTAAAGCTTCATCAAGTCAGAATGTTTAACTTCTTTCACATTTTTTATCCTTTTGCCACAGGCCTGTGGGATAGATGAATTTTTTTTCAGCAAAGGAGTAAACTTTGAGGCCATCAGTTACTTCAGTGATTTTAGGTTCTCTGGAATTAGGTTCCTAAAGCCAGCTATTTATCCATCAACTGTACCTTCAGGCCTCACAATCTGGTAAGTAATTAAATATTCAGGATAAGCCTGGAAAACAAAGATTAATACAATTATTGGTTAATAAATTTATTTGAAAGATAAAGAAACCTCCTATACAGACTCCTGAGCTTTAGGAAGGCATTTGTGCTATAGAATCATCTAGGAGCATTTTCTCAAAATACCCTTACCTTGACTCCAATCTTAGATTCTCAGTCAGAAGGTCTAGGATAAGTATTAAGTATGTGTCTGTTTTTAGTAACTAGGTGGTTCTGATACCTCCCCCACCATTGCTCCAACTCAGAAAGCTCCTGCCACTAAGAACAGGAGAAATTACACGTCTTTGCTACAGACAAACTATTTTTTTGTTTCTTTGTTGCTTTGTATATTACGGAAGAGTATATAGGATGTTCAGGGTCTTACTACTAGATCGGACTTATAGTGATCCACCTGTTTACAGCCTCCCAAGTGCTGGGATTACAGGTGTGCGCCACTACTCGCTGCCACCAATTGCAGTCTCAGGGCATCCCAGGGGGGGTAGGACTGGCAGGGCAGGCCTGGGGATCGAACCTCTGGCCCCTGCACCTGCTTGCAGGCTCTTTAATCCGCTGAGCTCTTTGGCTGGTCCCCAGACAGATTAACTATTAAAACTAGCATTTTAGTAAATTCCAGTCTACAGAAGCTAAAAAAAGGATGCAGTACAATTGAGTAGCTAATTTAAAATTAGAATCTGAATAGGTTAGCTACATCAATAGCACTTTCCTGATTTCCAATTTTAAGAGAATGTTCCTTTTTTTTTTTTGTACTGGGGATTGAGCTCAGGACCTTATGCTTGCCAGGCAGGCGCTTAGGCCACTCAGCTACCTCCCCGGCCCAAGAATGTTCTTTTTTTTTTTTGCGGTACTGGAGATTGAACTTATTAGGACTGCACTTGCCAGGCAAGTACTTATTCTATTGAGCTATCTCCCCAGCCCAAGAATGTTCTTATTTAACTATATTTATGATTTTTCAAATCTGAAGTTATTCCCAAGTAAAAGCTAAAAAAAAGTCTAGTTAAGGGAATATATCTCATCAACTTAAGAGATTAGTAAGAAGTTAGAAATATGGCTTAAAGTGTTTGTGAAGATGAACAAATAAAATCAAATTACCTGTTCTCCTCTATAAATAACATATTCAGCTAATGCTAGGCCATTTACACTGGGCCGACCAGTGACTGAATGATGACCTGGAGGAGAATGTGCCATTTTCATTGCACTAAACTGCAGAAAAGACTTTCCTAAGGTTACCCGGCAAAAGAGCAGCTGCCTGTAATGAAAAAGGAAAGAGTACGCTGAAGACGAATTTCACACACAAATGTAATATTTGTGTATAGTACATAAGTTTTAAAAAATACATTTATAAACAGTTACGGTTGTTTTTATCATTATATCCTAAAATACGAAGCTTGTAAAAATGTCTTATATCACTCTTATTCAAAACAATTTGTCAAGCAAGCTAATTCTAATTTTAAACTATAAAACCTGGAAAATCTAACTAGAGAAACAGACACTCCCATCTTGGCTGTATCCTAGTGAAAACACAAATCATAGGCCAAGTGAGAAGATGCAGAAGGTTTAAGAGCCTTCTGTGAAGTGGCTTGCAAAGTTGGATATTTATTCTAAGTCTATTGGATTCCACCTTTAAAATATATTTGAAACCTATTTGCTTCTAATTGTACTGCTACCATTAAGTCCTAATCAACAATTTTCACCTGAATTTTAACACCGGTCTCCTTATTTTCCATGCTCACAGTCATGATTAAACAAACGTAAATCAGGTCACACCACTTTCCTGCTTAAAACCTTTCAGAAGCTGTTTACTGTACTTGGAAGACAATCCAAATTCTTTACAATGGCTCTAAATGCTCCACTCTGACCTTATATTCATTATGCCCGAGGCACACTCATTTTTCTTCTTCATAAAGACTAAACTATCTTCTCAGATAGCTGCTATCCAGTTTTCTCAATCATCTGGAATAATCTTTTACTGCTACTTAACTGGCTGACACTTACTTATTTTTCAGTTAATCTGAAATGTTACTTCCTCAGTTGGGGCCTTCCTCACCAACACTTGAAACAGATTATTATCCCACTCGCTTCAGCCATGTATGATTGGCTTTCCTGTTTCTTTTTAGAACAGAAGTAGGAGATTTTGGTGGATCAGTTTTTAACTGATTTTCCTAAGAAGTGAGACTATATATTTTTTTAATTATAAATTTGCCTTTTGGAAGCCTCAACATTTCTAATATATTTTCTGTTATACTCACATTCAGTCCTACGATAACCCAGAACACAGAAGCCTTAAATTAATAAACATTTTGAGATAATGAAGTATTCTGTCTTAAAAACAGTACAGGGCTGTGGTGATCAACCTATGGCACATGTATTGTTGTGTTTTTTAAGGCAAAAGATGTCAATGAGTTTTTTCTCCCCCCTAAACTAAAATCTCAGTATTCAGGTTTAATGGCAGTGCTGGCACTCTGAGATAAACAAGTGGGTTTTGGGTTGCCCTTTGGGCCATTGATTTCTAAAGCCATCACTGGTTACAGGAGCTATACCAGAACATTGTTCATTACTAATAATAAATATTCAGCTTTTAGACTACATATGATACCTAAAAACAGTATTTGATTTGTGTAATCTTGTGAAACTATAAGACTACATAAGTTAACAGACCAATTTATGACCTACCATAGAAATGGCAGAAGGTCATATCCCAGACAAGCCTACACCTAAATTAAGGAAGAAAACAGCTATAAGATGAAATAACTTGAAAATATACTATCATCTTGTTTTTCTCCAGGACTATAGTTCTTTACCTTGACACCCCTTTAAAATCACTTAGAAAGCTTTTACAAATTCTAATGCCCACATCTCATCTCAGTCTAATGAGTTTCTGAAGGGTGGAACACAGTTTTTAAGCTCCCCAAATGATTCCAGAGAGCTACAAACCCTGTAAAGTACCATCTGGTGGTTTTCCTGTAGATCAGTGTTCAGAAGGACATCATCACTTGGGAACATGGTGGAAAGCCAAGCTCTTTGGCCTCATCCTAGTTCTAGTCAATCAGCAACTCAGAAGGCAAGGCCTAGCAATCTGCATTTTAACAAGGCTTCTAGGGAATTCTAACATATGCTATTTTGATAACTATGGTACCTTAACTGTGGAATAAATTTCAGCAATTAATTTTACCTGATTTCTCAAGTAACAGATGATTATTTTCTTATGATGATTTTATAAATTAGATCCAAATTATTTGACTGATTCTAACAAGTGAGTTAGAACAGGTAACTAAAAATGGGAAAAAAGTACAAAGCAGTTATTTTGAGAATTATTTGCTTTCTAAAGGGAATTAGAATGTTTTGATTATATCTGTTGCAGTAGTACTATTACAAATTGAGGATTAGGATTATATGGCAGTGAAGGGCTGCCTCAAGCATTATGAAGAATTGGATAGACTTGGCAAAAGGATGACAGTGATGACTCGCAGTGCCAGGGACTAAACTCAGGGTCTTACACATGATAGACCAGTTCTGAAGCATAGAGCTACATCTCTAGTCCCCACTTTTTAAGAGTGGAAAGTCCAATAATATTCAAGGGGTACAAAGCCAGCCAGATAGCTCAGTGGACTAAAGCACCTGCTTAGGCAGGCACAGCAACAAGGGTTTGATCACTGGTGTGCCACGCTGGCCCTGCCCCCTGGGGCACACGACTGAGACTGGACGTGGTGGCTCATGCCCCTTAATCCCAGTACTTGGGAGGCTGAAAACAGGAGGATCACTACGAGTCTGATCTGTGTAGTGAGACCCTGTACTAAATACATAAAAATTTTTTTTAAGAATCTGTAATATTCAATGAGTACAATAAATTATCTTTCATGCCCAATGTTATTTTCTACTCAGTGTTTTCTGAATATATGTGCTGCCAAAGCAAGCAAAACTTGGTATTTTTTTAAAGCCCTAAGATGTTCTAATGAGTAAGCAAGAAAAGGATGAAGTGCTTGAAATCATGTGAGGCCAATGCAGGTCATCTGGTAAACATAAGCTATTAGGATGCTGGTGAGAAGAACAAAAGCAACCTAAAACATGTCTAGTCTAGATTCTCAGAGTTGTCAGACATGCCTTGCCCTCCAAATTTCTAAAAAATGTAACCAAGTCTTAGTTGATTCTTGAAAAAAGTAAGTGGAAACAACTGATCTCTTACCTGTGGCAAATGTAACAAGATCTGTCCTTGTGAACTGGACACCCAGTACCCCCTCCAATTCCATACACATATTGATTGCTTTTGGAAGAATTTTCAGCAAAATAAATCCCAGCTCCAAACATGCCACCAATATATGCATGCCTTTCGTCAAAACCTTTATGGATAATTGCATTCACAAAGGGAGACCCTGAAAGACACATAGATAAGTAATTACCATTTCAAAATTTATCTTAGAAGAAAATGCAAAAACTAAAGCTGCTTAAGATTTTTTTCCTGTGCTGGAGATTAAACCCAAGGCCTTATAGATACACTAAGGCAAGCACTCCGTCACTGAGCCATACACCCAGCCCTAGTTAAGTTCTAAAACCCATGTCACCATCAACATCATAGTAGACCTAAAATAAAACGGGTAACAAGTTGATAGCCAATTTATGATTGATTTCCAGTACTGGGGATTGAACCTGAGCACTGTCCTACCACACCAAACAGGGTCTCATTCAGTTGTGTAGGCTGGCCTTGAACCTATGATTCGCTTGCCTCCGCCTCCCATGCAGCTAGGATTACAAATGTATGTCACCATACCTAGCTTGGCTTCCTGTTTTAAAGAACTCCTAATGCCTATGTATTTCTAATTACACTGTGGTTCACATACCAAAGTAAGGACAGACTGAACCAGGAAAACAGATTATCTGCGATATCAATGCAAGAAAAACCAAATTTCAGAGGCTGCACTGAGTCTCATAGTTCACCTTATGTACCAGGCTGAGTGCAATTAAATCTTACAAGCACATCCATTATGTATGACTTTTCTAGATATCAAAAGTGTCCCAAGCAACCTGTCATGGTCTCTTTTACTAGTTTCCCTTCTGTCCTTCCACTTGTCCTTTCATCATCTGCTAACAGGTTCTGTCTACGAATACAACATTTTCCTTCCCTCCTCTCATGTCTGCCAAGAAGACGGGCTCAGCCAAAGAGGATTATTGTGGGATCTGGACCAGGGAGTGGAGTGAGGGTGGAGGTTGGGAAAAGCCAAACTAAGAACAGTTAAATAATTTATTATCTGTGTCCATCAAAGAACAGGAAAATATATTGAATTCTGCTTTGCAAGTATAGATGAATAGAATCACTTTTTGAATTTACTTGTAAAACCCAAAGCTGATTATTTATAGCCTATTAAAAAACACCCACTATAACCATCAAGTTAAATACTATGTCCTGTGCCAAGAGATTATTATTGAGTTTTTTTAGGTTTTGGAATTAGAAGCAATATTTAGATACTGCGTATGATTCATTCTGGTTCTCTTAACATTTAAGTGGTTTTGACAATCAGAATAGAGTGTACACATTCTTCTGAGGCGATTTCTATGCCTCACTTCTACTCAATCAACTAGTTATGATTAAAACACAATTTCTCTGAATGGCCACAAAAAGCAAAGTCTATATAGACGTTGAAAATATAAATACAAATGTAAAAGTTACACAAACATTAGGTTTATTTAAAAAAACCCAAAATACATTGGCAATTATTTCATCACCATCCCATATCTATCCTAATGTGGAAGACAGTGGTAGAGCTGACAGAGTGGTACTGTACCATGAAATAGCATTCTCTCATTTGCATGGTTGTGATTTTCTTCAGAAACTTCTTTTCTCCGATGAGTATATCTTTCCCATAGTTTCTTGTTACAAACCTTCTGAATCTATATTAAAATACAAGAAAAATAATCACAACACAATAAGGACTATTTACCCAGAAGGCCGCCCCCCCAATGTTTTTCTGAAATGCAAAATATACTTTATTTTATTCAACTAAAAATACCATGTCCTAACCATGAAGTCTGAAGTATAGCCACATTTTAGAAATCAAAAACTTCAAAGAGAGAGCCTGCCAAATAGCGCAGTGGATTAAAGCTCCTGCTTAGGCAGACCAGGGGCTAGGAGTTTGATCCCCTGGCCTGCTGTGCTGGTGCTGGCCCTGGCACCGGCACTGGCGTAGGGATGTGCTGAGACGGTGATTGAACTGGTGGTGGTGTGGGCCTGTAATCCCAGCACTTGGGAGGCTGTAAACAAGAGGATCACTACGAGTCCAATCTACGCAGTGAGACCCTGTACACCCTGTTCTAAATACAGAAAAACCAAAACAACAACCCCCCCCCCCAAAAAAAAAGAGAGAGAAAAAGACTTTACAGGAAGGGATCAATAGAATGGTTAATTGATTAAAATACTTCAATTTTAAAATTTCTTAAAATTAAACTACCCAGGCCGGGGAGATGGCTCAGTGGAATAAGCACTTCCCTGGCAAGCGCAAGGACCTGAGTTCAATCCCCGGTTCCACCAAAAAGAAAAAAAAAAAAAAAAAAAAAAAATTAAACTACCCACATACTGTCATAACTCTTTTTGCCTTCCAATTACTAAAAGTTTTGTCTAATGATTTAAAGCTAGATCCTGGTCTCATTAAGAGTATTTCTATGGTCACAATTTCTAGCTGTGTTTAAAGACGCTACGGCCCCCTGGTGGACCTTTGTCCCTACAGCATACCAGGGAGCTGGTTAGTTTTAGTCTTGGCTCAAAATACTGCCACAGATGTGTAACCAAGGACCATAATTGGCAACAGCAGAACTCATTTATATATAAAAAGGGAACAAAAACCATTTATGATCCACCTGGAGACCATGTTGGGTGAAATATATCAGACACACAAGCTGCATGGTTTCCCTTACATGAGAAACCCTAAGTATGAATAATTTAAAAAGCAAACTAAAAACAGGGAGCAGAGAGATGCTTCAGGTCTTTTGCAAATGGGAAGGAAACCATGAGATGGAGAGAGAAGGAGAAAGGAAAGAAAAAAGGACATGTTACATATATGTACCAACTCCCTAGAATGTAACCATTATGTATTACAAACAAGTGCTGCTAGGGAGATAGCTCAGTGTCAAAAGCAACCACCTGGCAAGCACAAGGTCCTGAGTTTGATGCCCGGTACTGAAAAAAAAAAAAAAAAAAAAAAGAAAAGAAAAAAGAAATGAAAGGAAAGGAAAAAGAAAAAAAAAAAAAATCCAAACAATAAACAAGCTAATAAAAATGAAAAATTAAAACAAAATCCATTTTACCACTGAACATCTTTATTAAGTATTAAATACATTTATAAAGGAAGAAAACTATCTTTCTTAAACTCAACTATAGTATTTTAGAAATCAAGCATCCTTAACAAACTTCCACATGAAAGTATCATTCTTTTACTTGAATGTGTTCTGTTGACTTGTTTGTTTTTGGTCTTGATTTTACTGTATTTTTTTGGTTGATCTGTTTTTTAGGGGAGGCTTATTTTTTGTTTTTGTTGCCGAGGACCAAACCTAGGGCTTCCAGCTTGCTAGGCAAACATTCTACTGCTGAGCCAAATCCCTAGCCCCTTGAATGTGTTCTAAAGCATCTTTTTTGGCTTTTTTGTCATTTTGAGAGAGGGTTTTGCTATGTAGTTCAGGCTGGCCTTCAACTTAACTTTGTAGCCTAGGCTGGCCTCAATCTCGCAGTGATCTTCCTGCCTCAGCACTCCTACTGTTGGGACTATGGGCATGCGCCATCAGGCCTAAGGCATTTGATTTTTTGATAGTAGCAAACCCACTGACTCAAAATTATAAATCTAACAATATTCTTCTAATAGCATATCATTTGACTTTTTTTTTTTTTTTTTTTTTGTGGAACCAGAGATTGAACTAAGGCCCTTGCGCTTGCTAGGGAAACACTTATTCTACTAAATCATCTCCCCAGCCCTGAATTTTCAAATTTATGTATTAGGAAGACATTTGCATATATTCTAAAGTCTTGTTTGTTACAATTATTGTTAAGAATGTTATCAGTGGAGTTAATATAAAATCATGTATGTCAAGTATAATACATAGTTTTAATTGCTACAGCTCAAGAAAAACATAGAATTGCTGGAAAAGTTCCAAAACCAGTGAGATGCTAGGACTCTGACAGAACAATTGAAGACATCATTTGTTCATGGTACTGGAGGTTGAACACAAGGGTTTCACACTGAGCTGAATCCTCAACTCCCTTTTTTCCCAAGACAGGGTTTTCCCTACAAGTTGAAGATGGACTGGTGATCCTTTTGCCTCAGTCTCAGTGATGGAATTACTGGCATGAACCAAGATTGGCTTCTTAAAAATTTTAACACAGATTTTTACTAAACTGCCTGGCCTTCGAGTACTGGACAGCTGGGAAATATGTCATCCCACTCAGCTTCAAAATACTTTCAAAAGCTTGGTGTGACAGTACATGTTTATGATCCCACAGTACTCTGGAGCAGAGGCAGAAGGATCAGAGTTCGATGACACTGGTTTACACAGTGAGTTCAAGGCCACTCCACACACTACATAGTGAAACCCTGTCTTAAGACAGAAATAAACCCAGCAAAGAAATAAAACACTGTTAAAAGACTGGTTTTTGAAAAAAGAGATTTAGTATATTAAAGTTTATATGAAGATAAAATGTCTGGCAACTCTCAGGAGCTTGGAGTAGTCAGGCTTAAAAAAAAACCCAGAACTGGGTATGTTGGCCCCTATAGTTTACAGTTCCAATTACTAGGAAGGCTGAAGTAGAGGGGTACTCTGATTCCAGGCCCAAGATCAACTTGGCCAACACTGTTTCAAAACAACAATGAATAAGCAAGGTATTATGAAGGAAGTCTTTTTATGAGAAAAGTAAAAATGAGGTGTTTTCTTCAAAAAGCTCATGAAAGATACTTTAAAGTTCCCTTAAACTGCAAATTCATTATTCTAATAGCTAGCATCAGAATTTGAAAGTTACACAAGAGATTAATTACTGTTGGGTTATTAAAAATAGTTCTTAAGATTTTAAGAATCGTAGCCTTCCAAGGATATATTTTTACCTCAACAGTCAGTAAGCCATGTCAATGATGCAAGATGACTCTTCCTATAAGTTATTCACAGCTTTAGGCTTTGGAATCTACAGTGTCAGAGAACTTTATTTTCACTCATTTATTACCTTGAGAATATTGTATCTGTTGAAGATGCCACCTGCATGACCACCATCTCTGTGTTCTCGGACTGTACTCTGCATCTAATGGAAAAATAAAATGCATGTGCATTAGTTTTTATCTTTCCTAATGCATGAAACATGGTTATCAATTCATTTATTTTTTTTAAAAAAATCTTCTAAAATTTATTTGGTACATGGTCTCACTACACAGCTCAGATCCCTAGTAATCCTCCTGTCTCAGCCTTCCAGTGTTGAAATTATAGGAATGTGCTACCACACCTGGTTTCAGGGCCAGCATGGCATGCATACTGGGGATTGGACCTGGGTCCTTGTGCTTGCTAGGCAGGCGCTTAGACTGCTGAGCTATTTTCCCAGCCCCATTTACTAATTTTTTGAGACCGTGCTGCTTGTAGTTCAGGCTGGCATTAAACTCACAGTGATCTTTCCATCTCGGCTTCCTGAGTGCTGGGCTTATAAGAATGTGCCACTATGCCCAACCTTGATTTTTTGAGAATACAAGACAGGTTTTAACATTTTTGTTGTTGAAAGGATATGAATTCTGTAAGATCCTAAGTACTACTTTCTGGAGATGTCTACCAGTCATCCTAAAAACCGTATTTAGGTGAAAACCATGTAATGCAAACTAAAAAAAGAAAAAAAGAAATGGGAATGCAGGGCAAAATAAACACTGAAAGCTAACAATCTGACACATTAAAAAGCAAAACAATAATCTGTTTGATTTCAGTAATAAAGCACTATATGTACAGATTTTAGAACTCTCACTAAACTTTGCCTCTCTGGATTCAACTAACATACATAAGGGAGATGTACCTGGGGTATAAGGCAGGTCCAATAGACCTATCCATTACAATTCTGCTGTAAATTTGTACTTTACATTATAGTACTCCACTGTGTCTCAGTACTTTCCTGGAGGGAGACACGAAAGCAAGTCTATGTGTTACCAACTTGATAGGACAAATAATGTGGAGTGTGCACATGTGCAAAAGTGTCAAAATGGGCTTTGGACATACTTTTATGTTCTAGTATAAGAACTCAAAAGGAGAATTACAAATTGAAAGGTGTAACACAATTAAAAGGAAAGCAAGAACTTGAGGATTGAACAATGAGGAGAAGGTAAGGAGAAAAGCTGGGAAACATTACAGGGGCAAAGCCCTACATGTATACGCAGGAGATGGGTAAAGCAATGATCCTGTGAAACATCAGCAGGTTTTTGAAACTAGCAGTTAACTGGTAGGATTCTCACCTTGACTAACTATGTAGGCTGATACCTGTGAACCAAGCAGCTGCACTGAAGATAGCAATATGTAATAGAAGGATCATGCTTGGAATGCCTGTCATTCTGGTCTTCTAAATACGTACTTTTTGTCATAACATACCAATTATTACCATAATGTCACTCAAGTTTTTTTTTTTCTTTAAATAAAAGGTAATAAATGAAAAAAGACACAAGAAAAAGAAAAATTTAAAATGTCACAAGACTATCCTGCTACAATTCTGTATATGGTTAGATTTCTAAATTTCTGTGTAAAAGTATGTTTTTAATTATTTTTTTCTTCATATTCTGTAAGGACTTAAAGTTCAACGTATCAATACTTGATGGAAAATACCTGTTCCATGTTATGCCTAAGATGTTTGTTTGATATTTACACAGATAGGGTAAACTGAACTGCATTAGGTTGCAGGGTAATAATAAGCTTCTCTTCTGGAGAGTTAACAACCTAAGTTAGCAGATCAATAATTGGAGAAAAGGAAGGGCTGCAAGGTCAGCCAACATTTTGGTCTGAGCCTTTCAAGGTCAGTGAAGACTCAGGACATAGGAGAACCTGTACTATAACAACATGTCACTCAGTTGTACCCCAAATTTTCTGATGAAGGAGATTATGGAGCCACAGGGGAATGTGACTGATGATGTATGGTATGCCTGAGAGCAAATTGGTCAAGCAATGGCTGTGACTCATCCACATGGCTGACACTGACAAGGGATCTAAGAAGTGCGGTACAGGGTTATAGGATAAATCCTGAGGGGACTTGACTGACCTTATCAGATACAAAAATTACATTTCTTGTTATATCTTTATCTTGGTCTTAACCATCCAGCAGAAAAGTGTAACAAGGTATATAAAGTAAAGCCATATTAATATGATGACCTATACTCTGGTTTCTCTTCAAATCGTATAAATCTTTCGTCTTTAATATGATGAGCTATAAAAGGCTCTGGTCAGTAACTTCTGAGGATAACCCACTACTATTATGGACTACAGGACAGTGTTGGATTGTTTTGCTGAATTCAAGCACCTATAGTATGTATGTATGTATGTATGTATTTATTTATTTATTTATTTTGGCGGAACCAGGGATTGAACTCAGGCCCTTGCGCTTGCCAGGGAAGCGCTTATTCCACTGAGCCATCTTCCTGGCCCCTAGCCTATAGTATTTAGATGCCAATAGAATACCCACCTCTGACAGGACTAAACAAAAACAGGGGATACAAAGGAAGGACCATTTTGTATTTGTATATACAAAATAGTTAGGATAGACATACAGTTACTTTCACTTAATTCAATGAGAAGAAACATTTGTTCTAATTGTGTTTGGACAGGATATCCTATCTGCTTCTTGTACTGTGGATAACCACTAAGAAGATAACAATGTACAATGTATTAATTATTGAAACTGTCCTATTAATCAGCTTTGAAACTGTCTCACTGATATTTGTTTCTCAATAAAATAAAAAAACAAAACCAAAAACAAGTGTCAAAATGGGCTTTGGACATACCTTTATGTTCTGTCTACTGGTTTTGTATGTATTTAACTGAGCACCACAGAGGGTCCAACAGACCCACACCACTTTCAGGATTTATTTTTTAAAAAAAGGTTTTAGTTTGATTTTTCTGGTAGAAGTAGCACAGTTCAGTAACAGTGGCACTTGAAAAACCACATTTGCAGGTTTTAGGAGTCAAAGAAAGAATCACCGGATTACTCATACGTGAAGATGATTCATTGAGGTAAAATATATGCTTTCATAAAAGAAGGATGGTGTAGGTGTATGATGATGATGATGATGACTTTGATATTGGTCATGTGACCCAAAGTCCCTGTGACAGGAACTGATACAGACACAGGGAACGCAGATCTCCTTGATTAAGATGAAGAAAACAGCAATGTGAATACATATTTGAGTAGTGAAAATTTTGCAAAAGACACCAAAAGGAATAATCCAGCATTAGGTCCATAAATATAATGCAGGCTTTGGGAGAGGTGAAACATAATTAAACAAAATGCCAGCACTGTCATTCAGTGTTGGAAACTGTACTAGACAAAAGGCTGTAAGGTATTGTGAAATACAAAGGCTGAAATGAAAGTAGCATGTTCTATATGCACCAACAGCCTTACTTAAAAATATATTATGACACCTCTCTAGCTGAACTAAAAACTCACAGGTCTGCTGTACTTAACACACATGAATAGCAAGAATGTAAAAGACTTGTGAAAAAGCGATGAGTCAAAATATGGCATAAGAACTTATGCCCTTGTAGTTGCAAAGACTTATTACTTTCACTTTAGACATTCATTCTGGAACTCAGCCATCAAGTCCTTATTTGTATAGTAATAAACCAAATGATGTGAACAGTCTTGTTGCTTGCTCCCATCACCCAAACTAATTATAATGTGACATTCCACAGTTGGTTTATAATTTCCAATTAATGTTATTTTGCTAACAGAGCACAAGTGGACCAGCATAGGAACTGCACACAGAAACAAAGCAGAAATTCCAAATGAAATGTTGCAATTTCAAAACAGAATTGTACAGGACAGTTTTCAAATTTCAGAAAGACGTACCATTGGCCTCGTATATGGCAAAGAAAAGCAAACTGGTACTGTGATGTTAATTTTTTTACCATGACTGAAATATTGACAAGGTAATTTTGCCAAAATGGAAGCCTGAAATGTAAACTTTCAATAACTAAAGAGGAAGTAGAGTAAGTGTTGTATGGTGAGTTATGCAGCAACTACAATGTCATCTGAAACACAAAAAGCATTTGGCCAATGGTTATGGTTTACTCAGTCCTAATTGTGTAGCATTAAGTTTGATGCTTTACAAAGAAAATAAGAAGTAAAAGATAACACATTTTCTTAGAGGATTGGGACTGGAGCTCATAGATCATTCATAGCAGAGGAAAAACAAAATGTTTCCCTTCAGGAAACTACACAAAAAGCTTATGGAGCACAATGGTGAGCTGACAGATGAATAGGAAGGTGCAGCATCACAAAGACCTACTATGACAACAAGAAAACAAAAAAGATATCAATTACGCCCTACAAAAAAAGTACAAGAAAACAAAACATGTTATTAGTTAAGTGAGACCTCTGCATAGAACATCTAGCTATCATGTGTGAAGACTGTCTTGAGGGCAACAGTTGAAACAAAGCTTATTTCTGTCATACAAGTTTTTATTTTTGGTGTTATCATTTAGGTTTTTTTTCTGCACTAGGAAATCTTTTAGATTTTGTAAGCAAGTAAACAGCTGATACGAAAATGTTGATGTCTATTCTAAACACTCATTACATATTTGATTCTATATCCTGTTGACATTTTATTTCCTTGTCCAGTGCATGTTGTATAATTTATTAGGATGCCCCAGACAAAACAGGAAGAGAGGTGCTAAGGCTGCCACATAGGAATGTTAAGCACACATATTGTCAAGTGTTAAATGGACAGTGTGCTTGGATCACAGTTGTCATGTGTAAAAACTGCCTTAGGGGACCGGGGAGATGGCTCAGTGGAATAAGCGCTTCTGTAGCAAGCGGAAGGGCCTGAGTTCAATCCCCGGTTCCACAAAAAAAAAAAAAAAAACAACAAAAAGCCAAAAACTGCCTTAGGTGTGACAGTTGAAGCAAAACTCATTTTTGTGGTAGAATCCTACTGGTATTTTCATTACAGCTATGAGCCAAGAGGAAATACAATCTATGGGATCACTATTGTACATGTAGCCTGTCTTTGACCAAAACAGCATTATTGTGTATTTTTATATAGTTTAAGATGGTCTATAGCTTAACACAGTAAAATGCAGTCTCTAGTATATCTCGTTTACTATAACTTAGGATGTTTAACTTGAATCTAAATCTTTACAATTAATTTCTAACTTACAACAAATTTAGGAGATAGAGCAAATTTAATGACACAATGACTAAACATCCAAGAACAGAAAAAAAAAAAAAAAAAAAAAAAAAAGAATTGTGTCAGTACTAACTGTAGTGCACCAAGTAACTAGAATTAAGGTTTACTGATGGAGTGTACTCTAAATTTTAAAACCATACTGCATGTTATCTGGCAACGTGCATAAAATTTAGGAGTTGAACGACCAATAAATTCAGCTAATCTTTTTTGTTTAGGGAATGCAAACGTACCTCTTCCTCCACAGACTGAAACTCTTTATCGTCAGGAGACAAATCTATGAGAATTGTTCCACTACCAGAGTTGTTCAAAGTCAAATATGGGTTAAGACCTATGAAACGAAATTTGAAATTAAAACCATTTGCCAGTAAAACACTAATCTGATTTATCTGATGCTTACTACCAACATTTAAAAACAGTTCATTTTGGAATAGTTCAGATTTACAGGATGACTGAAAGCACAGAGGGTTCCAGGATATTATTCACCCAACATCCCCTTCGGTTACACACCACTGTATTTACATTCACCTTGAATACTACAATTTTCCCCATTAATGTCCCTTTTTCCTTCCACGAGCAAAACTAGGACACCAGACTGGACTTAAGACTATTAATTTTGACCTGACAAATATTAAGGGTTTTGTAACAATATTTCAGAAAATTTCACTCCTTTTTATCTCCTGTTCTTAATGTGCTTATAACGCATTTGTTTCTTGAAATTAGTTTTTACTTTTTTTAAGTACTAGGGATTGAATCCAAGGCCTTATATATTCTAGGCAAGTGTTCTATCACAAAACTGTACCTCAACCCCTTTTAAAATTTTTTATTTTGAAACAAGGTTACATGATTTTCCTAGACTAGGTTCCAATTTATCTTGGCTTAGCCTCCTGAGAAGCTGGAATTATGGGGGTGCACTACCACACTGTTTCTGTCCTGTAACTTCACAAGGCTGCTAAAGCTCTACTGTTTTTTCAGGTAGGAGGCCACTAGTGCTGGGCTAATGCACGAGAGGATGACCACTGCAGATTAAGAGCACTATTATATTATAGGAGCACTATTATCAAGTTGCATTCTTTTTTTTTTTTTTTTTTTTTTTGCTTCGAATGCCTTCAGGGCAGGTTTGGCTGGCTGGAGTTGTGGGGACTGAACCACAGCAACCTGAGCCTGACTGCTTTGTTGAAGACAAGTTGCATTCTGAAGTCTTAGTGGAATGCTTGATTAAAATGTGTGTAGGAGTTATGAAGATCATATAGTATATTATAGAATAAAGACCAACAAATGCTTCATTAAAGCATCTGCAATCTACCGAAGATGTTTATCAGTATGGAAAGATTAATAGTAATATAGTGACAATGCACTGAATAGTCAACAAAATGAGACTTCCAGGTGACTGGCACAGGCAGCTACTGGTTCCTCTTTGCAAATTAGGCTTTGGCATAGGATCTGGGCTTCAAGTGAAGATGAAGATGGTGGTAATTTTAGGTAGGAACATGACCCTTTCTTTGGAAAAGATGAAACAATTCTGTGTCAGGACTGTTTCTCCCCCATCTAGAAATGCTCCACCCTTCAGGAAATGGAAATATTAGTAAAATTATAGGACTAGAGATGACAAGAAGTATCACTGCCATGTGGGAGTAGTGTGTCTATTTCTGTCGTTCTTTCCAGAGACTCTCAATGCAGTCATAACAACTAGGATGTATTTACTTATACAAACACAATCTGCTTTTCATTTTGTAGTAAAACTTTTTCCTGAAAGACCCCTGTTATCCCAGTACTCTATCATAACTGTTATCATATCATGGTGGAAGTTCACAACTAGGTTTTAGTTTCTTTTTCATCTTCTATGCTATTCATATTATACCTGAATTTTCCAGGGAATTAGGTTTTCACTTCTTTTATCTTATAAAATTTTAAACTTGTACTATTCTGCCCTAGCCTCTACAAGGAAAGGAAAGCACACTTACCTTTAATTGACCATATCCTACAATACCACTTTAAGGCATTCTTTGGCATGAATCATATTTTTAGAGGTATTTTTATTTCTTTAGGAGCGGATTCTATCCTGACTAGTACATATTTCCTAAAAATCTCTTCACTTTTGCTAATGAAGGTTTCTCTTCAAACAGCTTACAGGGTCACGACTTCAATTATAGGATACTTTCTGGTCTCATGGTAAACTACTCCCTTAGTTTAACAATAAATCAAAAGTTTTAAACAATTCGGCCTTTAATGCCAAGACACCAAATATAGGAAGTTGAGTGAACACAATTTTCAATTTCTTTATCACTAACTTTAAAGAGGAATAAAATTATCATCAAACTTTAATTTCAATTACAATCTTGTTCATTTCCAATATTTTCATTCCAGGTGTTTAGAACTTCAGCTATGTAAGAGATGTACTACATGATTTTAAGGGCTAGCCTAATATTTAGTCATTATCTATTAGTGTAAGAAATGAGACATTCAAGTTTCAGCTCTTTTAGAATTGTAACATTTTAGAGCTAAACTAATTTCAGAAATTATCTAACTTTTCCATTTCCAGAAGTTAAAGTAAGCCTCACACTTTTGAATGGCCTTGACATTTTACTTAGGTTCATGTAGTCAATACCAACAGCTCAGGAAGTTTAACTAGTAGCAGAGGCCTTGATCTCAGGTTTCCCCAATCTTCCTTAGTGTTCTTCTGATACTCTCAGACTTTTAAACAATCATTTAGCATACTCATGGTTGCCTTTGTGTAAACTTACTAACAACAGCAATTATTAAAACAAAATACCTTGCTGTCCAGAAATAAGTCTTTCAACTCCTTTAATTAGTTTGTGTCTGTGACCATATGCATTGATTCCAATCTCCTTCAGCTCCTTGTGCCCCATTTCGACTAATACATCCAAAGTGATCTTACAAAAGAGGACAAAACTATTTAGAATGATTAATCATTTGATGGACAAACATATATTAGATTTTGCATACTATATTAGGTTCATACATCAAATTATTTAGAATAGTTTAGATAGGAAAAAAAAAACTCCTTTGTTAAGCTGAAGTTAACTAAAAAAAGAACAGAAAAATAGAAAGTCAAGTCATGAATGCACTTTCAAATTAACCCTACTCAGGTACAATAGTATTTCATCGTTTTCATTATACTTCCAACCCCCAATCCAATCTGTTTGTGTTTGTTGTTTTCAATAGTTTCTTTAGTTTGAATTATGCTAAATGGTACTTTTACATCACTGTTCAAATTCACTCTTTCACTTAAAATATATTTTCCACTTTGTGAAATTAAACCTTTCATTTATTTTTTTTGGGTGGTATCAGGGATCGAATTCAGGACCTTGCGCTTGCCAGGCAAACACTTATTCCACTGTGCTGCCTCCCCAGCCAACCTTTTTGATCCTGTTTTATTTATATACCTTCTATGGAGTTATACCTAAGTAGATAAGTTCTTAAGTAATTTTTTCCTTCTCTGAATATTTAAAATCTATGCAAACTTTAATTCTTTGTATATTCTTGTTCTTGTTCCATTAACTATGCTGATGTCTCCTCTGGATTCAAGTCCATAGCAACTATGTATATTTTCTGGATAAGAACAACAAAATAATCACTAAGTAGCTAGGCACAGTGATGCAAGACTGTAATTCCAGCATTCAGAGGCAGGAGGATGGCTGTAAGTTTGAGGCCAGGCTGAACTGCACAATGAGACCCTGTCTCAAAAACAAACAACAAATCAGTAAACGTATTCTGAGAGAATACCTTCAACTAAAACCACCTGAAAAGCTCAGATCTGTGGCTAGCATATCCACATCTACCTTCCAATAACAGCTAGTGACCTATCATGATAGCAACTGACAAAACAACTGAATTAAAGAGAGCTCAAGGTTAACTTATTTAAAGGACTAAGATAAACTTGACATTCAATAGGACTGTGAATTTGGCTCAGCAGCAGAATGCTTGCCTAGCGAGCTGGAAGGCCTGGGTTCAGTTCTCAGTACCAAAACCAAAAAATAAACCTCCCCTGAAAAACAATTCAATCCTGGGCGTGCTGTGCATGTGCCTGCACCTGCCCCACCCCAGGCATGCTGAGACAGCAACTGAGATTGGGAGTGGTGGCATAAGCCTGTAATCCCAGAACTTGGTAGGCTGAAAACAGGAGAATCACTACAAGTCTGATCTACGTAGTGAGGTCCTGTAGACCTTGTCCTAAATACATTAAAAAACATATATATCTATATATATAATATACATATCATATATATTAAAATTAAAAAAGATCAAAAACAAGGCAACTGCAAATTTGACATTCAAGAAATTGAATATATTACTATATGAGAGTCAGTTTTTTATAATCTAATAAATTAAGTGGGAATTCCAAGATAAACCCAAAGTAGATGAAGGACTGTTGTCTAATATCTTAAAAAGCAGAGCTGGGAGTCTTAACTCTGAGGGAGAACACATGATAAGCATGGACAAGTCCCCAGTGCCAAACACAAACAATCTAAAAAATATACCCCCGTCAGTAGCTTACAAGGTGCAAGGGAGTTCAAGTGTGCCCTAAATTTTCTTTTGAGTCTTGATGAAACATAAAACCAAGCAATACAATTCATTTACTCACCTGTTCTCTCTCAAATATATCCATTAAGTGCTCAAGTCCAAGATTCCTTACAAACTGAGTTATGCTAAAATCTACTCCTGGAACTGGAAGAGAAAATACAAAACAAAATTTCACAACAGAATATGTGTTAACACTGTAACAAAGTTACATTTACGTGAAGAAAATAATGAGGCAAAATATATTAACAGCCACCTAGCACAGAATACTGAATGTAATACCAAGTTACAAATAGAACAGGTGCAGCAGCAGCAGCAGCAGATCCTGGTAATTTCTGCTACTGGGGGTCTGAGTTTGAAGTAATCTAGAAAGACAATGCCCCCCCCCCAAAAAAAAAAACCCCACAAAATAAAAAATCAAGCATGGCCATCACAGGCCAGCACTCTAGGAGTCTGAGTGTGACTGAAAGGTTGAGTCCACGTGAGTAACTTTGCAAAAACCTGTTTTAACCACTCGAGTGTCACTCAGGCAGCACATCTGTTTATGTACTGGCTACCTTGAGCACTGTTTGGGTAGATGCAACTTCAATTAGTCAACTTTTGTACAGAATAAATGTGGTAAAATTGTTTTTATATCTTATATTATCTTATCCCCCAAATTTAAAAACAATTGAAAAATGGGCATGTGAGATGAATACATACTTCTTAAAGAAGTATAAACATGAAATATATGAAAAATGTTCAACATCACAGGTCATTTGAGAGAGACACAAATTAAAACAATACTGAGATTCTATTGCACTCTAGAAAGAATGATTATTATCAAGAATCAACCAATGATAAACCCTGGTAGGAATGTAGGGAGTATACACTAGTGAAATCACTGTGGAAATGAGTGTCTAGATTCCTCAAAAAACTAGGAGTATAGCTCTCATTTGACTCAGCTATTCCTGGTATCATCTCAAAAGAATTAAAAGCATCATATTGTGATATATGCACACCCATGTTTATAGCAGCACAGGTTGCAATAACTAAATCTTGGAAACAACTCAAATGCCCATCAACTGATGAATGTATAAAAATAATGTTTTTTTAAAAAAAAAAATACAATGGAGTACTACTTGGCCCAAACAAAGGCTAATATAAAACTTGAGACATTTGTAGCTAAATTTTGGTTGGACTTTTGAGACCACACACTTTAAGTGAAATAGATCAGACATACCTATATAAATATCATATTGTCTTGTGTGAGAAACGGAAAGAGGATATAACCCAAATGTACAACAGAAATTGTGAAATATGAAGAAACTGTTCAAAAGGAAAACGGCAGAGTGGAGTGCGGGAAAGGAGGGAAAAGAAAAAAATGAGACAAAAAAGACAAAATGGAGGGCTGGTCAGATAGCTCAGTGGACTACAGCACCTGCTTAGGCAAGTGCAGGGACCACAGTTTGATCCCTGGCACCACAGTCCCACGGGGTGCACCAAGCCAGCCAGAGTCTGAGTTTGGTGGCACACACCCATAATCCCAGCACTGGGGAGGCTGAAAACAGGAGGATCACTACGAGTCCCAGCTAGTAGTGGGACCCTGTAACAGAAGAAGCAGAAGTAGCAGCAGCAGCAGCTGAAGAAGATGAAGAAGACGAAGAAGACAATGTCAACGAAGACGTACATGAAGATGAAGATGATGAAGGAGATGAAGACGAAGAAGATGAATAAGACAAAGAAGGGGCCGGGGAGATGGCTCAGTAGAATAAGCGCTTCCCTGGCAAGTGCAAGGGTCTGAGTTCAATCCCCGGTTCTGCCAAGAAAAAAAAAAAAAAAAAAGACGAAGAAGATGAAGACAAAGACGAAGAGGACAATGATGAAGGACAAAATGCGAAAAAAGCTCTGTTAATAAGAAGGGAAGTGGGGTTGAAAGGAGGGGAGTGAAACAGGAAAAAAAGAATCAATATGGATCACATACAGGTTCAAATTTCCTATGAATGTGATCGTGTGCATCTAAATTGTACAAATAAACTTAATTAAAAAATAAATCAGTTGCATATCTTTCATGATGTAAGTGCCTTTACAAACATGTTTATGAAAAAAGTTTCATATCATTGCATGGAGTCAGGTGAATCCTGACTGGTAAGGTTTGTATCTAAAGTGCAAGTTAGTAGCCCAAGATTGACTATGCTTTCAACATAGGAGGAGAAAGTTTTATTAGGACTTCTATTAATAATGTAAAGAAAATTACAAAAGGCTAAAACCTTTATGCCATATAAATTACTGTGATAGTAGCTATACTAATAAATAAGGTTAAAAAAAGGAATTCCTAGCATTCTCAAAGACAAATATAGTGCTGCTATTTCAGCAAAAAAGTTACTTTTACAGAATATCTTACCTTCCTTCCTTTCTAAACTGGAAGCACCCTCCGTTCCACTTGAGCTAACTACTGAAGACAGTTCAGAAAAACTCCCAGATAAGTTGTCAAGACTGCTGGCTGCAGAAAGGCTTGACGGGCTGGATGGACCTGAGGACAGAGAATCTGCAGTGGCTCCAGGGCTTCTCACACCATTGAGCACCTGAGGTTTGTAACACGAAGGCAGAGCAGATGGGGGCATGGCTGCTGTCAGGAGAGCACTGACATCGTCCGCCTAGAGGATGTTTAGGAGAGGAAACCTGTTATAAGTAACTTTTTAAATCTTTTATACCTAATAGAATACAGTTAAAAATAAGACAAAACCCAGCAAATGTGTACTAGAACCATTATAACACTAATACTTGATTGCTTTATCTTAAAAGTGAAGCAAACAGATGCTTAAACTTACAAAACGTAATTCAGAACATCTCTTTTAGATTTTGTACAACAAAAATAAAACTTAAATGTGCCAAGCATGAACAAAATTGTAATTTTGATACCACCATTGAAAAGGACTAAAATGATTCAGAAATATCAATTTCTTTTTTGATTTTTTTAGACAGGGTCTTGCTATATTGTTTAGACTGGCCTCAAACTCATTATATAGCCTAGCCTGGCCTTGAACTTGTGGCAATCCTCCTGTCTCAGTCTCCCAAGTGCTGGAATTATAGGTGTGCGCCACCATACCTGACAGAAATATCAATTGTAAAAGGTCAGAGTTATTACCCTCAGCAATTCAAGCTATAGAGAACTGAAAAAATGTGTTTATAGTTCTTGGAAAATACTCAGTTATATATTTGTTCCTCAAAATCAGGCCGAAATTTTTTTAGTTAAAAAAAATGTTCAGGCCAGGGAGATAGCTCAGTAGAATAAGCGCTTGCCTGGCCAAAAAAAAAAAAAAAAAATTCATTTTCGTAAAATGTCAGAATAGGAAAAAAATCTCAATGTACTGATACAATTACTTTTACTAGTAATGAATAACAATTTTTCACAATGCTCAATTGAGCTAATTTTAGCACAAAGCCAGTCTGTTTTCATGGCTAGTCATTTACAGTACCTACTCCATTCCTATTTCTTTCTTCCCCTCAATCTGTGCATTCTATGACACTCCTAGTTTGTGTATGTGTCTGTAATAATGGTATCATTAAAGGGATCTTTTTTATGTGCCTGATACCACGCCAAGGACTTTAAGTATACCACCTTACTTAATTTTCTATTGACTGGCTATGTTTTTTTCTCTTATACATATGGATCTAAGAGAGGCAACTTGTAAGATTATACAAGTGTAAGTAGCAGTGTAGAAATTCTAGACCAGGTCTGTCTGACGCTAAAGCTCATTTATGTTCTCCAAAGCATTTTGTTTCACTGTCACTGATTGTATCTGATAAATTAAGGTAGGGTGGGATGAATTCTAAAAGTTTACTTTTAAGGCAGTTTGGACTGCAAAGACATGTCCCTGAAGACAAAAATGCTATCAGTATGGTTAGGTTGTCAACCAGCTGAGAAAAAAAAAAGAAAAAAAAAAAAAAAATCAATGAAACTAAATGCAGCCAAAGTAAGCTTAGGCAGACGCAGGAGATGCTCAATCCCTGGCTTGCAGTGTAGGCTCCACCCCTGAGGCACACTGAGACAATGTTGAGACTGGGTGTGGTGGTATGTGCCTGTAATCCCAGTAGTTGGGAGGGTTAAAACAGGAGGATCACTATGAGTCCAATCTGTGTAGTGAGACCCTGTACTAAATAAAAAAATAAAAAGTAAATCGGTTTCTCACTGTAGTTTGAACAAGGAAATTTTTCTCAGTAGAAAGGAGTTTATAGAACAGACTCCTTCCTTTTATCATTTTCCTTTACTGCTCTGGTCAACGTCCTAAGTGGCAGAGGTAACAAAGCAGAAGCGAAAAGTAAAACAAAGGCGCCTACATGAGTTTAGTGGAAGGCTAAGAAGGAAAAAAATAACAGGCTTACTGAAAAGGAGTCTATGCTAGTGGGCTTGGTGGTTGGTTATATCCCAAGGGCAATGTTCCTAGTTGGGCAAGCTGAAGATCTATAATGTATCTACTATTTTGTACTACATAGATTGTAACAGTCTCCAGAGGACCTGTGTCTGTTTTGGTTCTTAACAGGACCAAATGTAAACAATTGCAGTGTTATTTTCCCTACTATTTCCATAAGTAGTTAGGACATGATAACTGATTCATAAACTCTATTATTTACAAACAAAGACATTCTATATTTAAGATTGGGCTAATCATCTAGATTCTTACCATATTCATTGAAGCCATATGTCCATCAAGTGAATTTAAAGGGTCAGGAAAGCATTGAGATTTTTCAAAAAGGGGATCACTTACTGAAACCAAATCTAAAGGCGTTTGTCCTTCCTGATTTTTAAGAGTAGGATCAGCTCCATGGGCCAATAATAAAGCACAAAGCTGTGTCCGGCCCTTTTGGGCTGCTTCATGCAAAGGTGTGAAAGCCCATTTGTCCGTTGCATTGACACATGCATTATACTTTATTAGTAAAGCTGCTACATCCACATGCTGGAAAAAAAAATATTCTTGTTACAGTCTGAAATATTTTACCCTAGTTCAGTTCTTAAGAGTCTAGCTCTGTACCTACTTCTGTATTTTTAAATTTATTCTGAAAATAAATATTAAAGCTGTTTCTACCGTTATAAGTAGTTGCTTAAAACTTAAGGAGTAGATATTTCCAAAAAACCCTACAAAACAGTTAATGATTCTCCTGCCTCAGTCTCCCGAGTGCTGGGATTACGGGCATACTTCACTATGATCAACACTAACATACCTTTAATGATTTCTAATTTACATGGATAACTACTGAAAATCAATTTATAAACTAGCAGCATTCTTCGATTTTCCAAACTATACTACTGATAACAGTTAATACTGATAATAACATTCAGGGATGTTATTGAGAATAGACTTCAATCTATAGATTCTTATAAAAAGTTTTTAACCTGGGAACCAGCAACTAAAATCACCAATATCTCGCTGAAAATAATACACAGATGCTAAGGAAGATAATGAAATAAATGACAACATACTTAACAGAACTAAAACTTAGAAAGTTTTTTTAAGATGAAAGTCAAACTTCCATATAAATTTTGATATTTACTTTTACACTGGAAACTCCAGATTTTTTAAGTAGATAACACAGAAGAACTTACCCCATAAGATGCTGCATTATGTAAAGGAATAAGACCTCCTTTGTCTTGGGCATTCACATCAGCTCCATGTTGTAACAAATATTCTGCAACTTCTAAGTTATTATAACCAGCTAATTTAGGAAAGAAGTAACATTACTTTCATTTACAGATTTTAAAATTTCACATGTAATAGTTATATGTATCTGTAAAGATTAGGTATCACTGAAAATTTTTTTTTTTATATAAACCTGAAATTCTGTAGTCTATGAAAAACTAATCTGGGAAAAAATTTCCCCTGGCTTTAAAAGTTGGAAGTCTGGATGACAGCAATTGGTTGTGAAGACTCCCAAATTATACTGACTGATTCGCTTCTATCTTTCTATTTTAAATCAAAGTCCCTGCTTTTATAGTTGTTACAACTTCCTAAACTCAGGTCCATGGCCTCAAGAGCCACAAGTAGACAGGCACCTAATCATACAGGAGTAAATAGCTCAAAAAGTCTGGCAGAGAAACCTGGGTTCCCAAAGGCATGAAGCAAAGCTTAGTGTTTTGGGAATATGGTATAATTTCCCAACTAATGTGCTGTCAGCTGTCTTAGGAAGTACTGTTATAATAAAGCCTACATGACACATGAAGGTAGGAGGAAAAATGTGGAACTGAACTTTGCCAATATAGACACTTAAAATCTGAAAGTGGTTCAAACTATTTTTTTTCCTTTTAATTTTATTTTTATCAGTACATGTTTGGAGTACATAATGATTGCATTCATCATGGTGAGTCGGTACATGTAAACAGCATTTAAATTCTTTTCAATCTTCTCTCTTAAAACATTCACAGTTTTATTTTTTAAAAAATTTATTTATTTGGGGCTGGTGAGATGGCTCAGTGGTCTAAAGCACCTACTTAGAACAAGCTAAGCTAAGCTAAGCAAAGCACAGGGACTGCGGTTCGATCCCCCAGCACCACATGCCAGCCAGCCCCGCCCCCTGGTGGGCTGAGCTGGCCACACACACACACACAAAATAAATAAAAAATAAAAATATTTAAAAAAAAATTTATTTATTTGATACAGGGTCTTGTTATGTAGTTGACTCATAGTGATCCTCCTGTTTCAGCCTCCCCAGTGCTGGGATTACACATATGCACTATCATGACTGGTTTCAGTGGCCAGTATGGTGTGCCCAGTGGGTTATGGCACTGGTGCCCAGGTCGCTGTGATTACCAGGCAGGTGCTTAGACTGCCGAGCTAGCTCCCCAGCCCTTAGTTTTGATAGTTTTTATCTTTTTGCTGAAAAATCTAAAGCATAAGAATTTCAAAAGACCAAGTAAGAAAAACAAAGCTAGCACAAATGATAGTGGGATCCAAACTTATATGAAGTGAGAATTTAAAGATAAAAATCACATAAAATCTGTGTGTCATGTGGTGAGAATTAAATCCAGAGCCTCATGGATGCCAGGCAAATGCTCTACCCACTGAGCTACCTACCCCACCTAACTATCCTTTAAACATTATCAATATACTACAAGACTACAATGAATTAAGAACAGATTTTCATCTCCTATATTATACAAAGTAGCAGACACAACTGCATTAGTTTTTCTTTAGTTTGAAACCATATTTAGTTGACTCTGCCTCATACATAACTCCCTAACAACCACAATGCAGCTAAAAAGGCTATACTGGACTGGAGAGATTTCTTCATGGTCTAAGTGCCTGCCTGGCAAGTACAAGGACCCAGGTTCCATCCCCGGTACCGAATTCAGTGCTGAGTGCACTGTGCTGGCCCCCGAAACTGGGCACAGCAGTGCATGCCTGTAATCCCAGCACTGGGGAGGCTGAGACAGGACGAGTCCAAGCTGTGTAGCAAGACTTATATGAAATAAAAGATTTTTGAACGAGGATATACTGAAACTACACTTTCGTATACCTGCACTAAAAACAACCACCCTCTGTGCCAATTCTGAGTAGAAACTTAAAATAAATGTTATGGTCTAAACGGTGTTCCCTTGGAGTTATACTACAAACTCTAGTACCTTAAAACTGTGAATATATTTGGAATGGGGCCTTTTAAAAGGTAACTAAGTTAAAATGAAGTCCTTAAGGTAGGTGTTATTCTAAAACTGAGCAGGGTTCAGAGACCTGCTGATGCTTCAATCAGATTTTTAGTCCCTAGATCTATGAGAAAACAAATTTCTGTTGCTTAAAGTAGAGTTCTTTGTTATGGCAGGTCTCGCAAAGCAAAAAAAAAAAAAAAAAAAAAAAAAAAAAAACCCAAAAAAACAAATTGGTAAGAGGTTTATGTAACTTTTGAAAGGCCAAAAATATGCTGGCTGCCTATACCTAGCATCTATCATTAAGAATGAAAAGCTTGAGCTTCTCATGAGGAAGGCTGGGTACAGCAGGCTTATTTTGCAAAACACATACCGAAGATGATTAGGCCATAGTGATCTGGAATAAAAGATCCCAAATCACATGGCTATTGGCAGCACCTGTTTCAATTCTTTTTACTGAATGTAACAAACTCAGTATTAAGATGACTTACAACTTAGGTAACAGCATGAAGTATGGTTGCCCCGCACAAATATGCTGAAGAGTACAATGGTGATATTAGAAGATATTTTATTTTGAATACTTCTAGTTCAGTTACAGGAAGCTCAGGTAAAATGAATTTTAGATGCCACCGGCCTAAATTTGTAAAACTTCACTCACTTACCTGCTAAATGTAAAGGTGTAGAATGTCGGCCTTGAGTATCTCGGCAATTCACATTATCAGGTGATGACAATTTCTTCACTCTGGCTAAACAACCCTTTTTCGCAGCATCTAATAAAGCTGCATCTCCTCTAAGTAGATCCTGAATATCTGTATCTCCATCTTTAACAAGATCCAAAGGAGTATTCCCATCCCTGTTTTTCTTTGTAGGATCTGCACCATGCTGGGCATGAAAAAAAAAAGAAAGGAAGAGCTGGCTAAGGTATTCTCTTTGCCATGAGATCACCATCAATAACCCTCTCTCAAAAAATCATTTTATACGGAGATTATGTTAAAGGTCTATATGATCACAATTTTTAACTTATATACAGAAAATTACAATAAAAAGTTTATAGTGGGAATTAAGAATTACTAGGGCTTATAATTCATTAATCAAAAAGTGTGAAGTATATTCAAAATCTGGTAACTACCATGAAGGCAACATCATGCAATGTATTAATTATTGTAACTCTCCTACTAACCTGTTTCAAGATTTTTTGTTTTTGTGTGTGTTTCTTTTTGGCAGAACCTGGGATTGAACTCAGACCCTTGTGCTTGCCAGGGGAGAGCTTATTCCACTGAGCTATCTCCCCGGCCCTATAACCGATTTCAAAATTTATTCTTTTCAGTTTAAAAAATTCTATTCAAAATAAAATAGTATTTTATTAAAAGTAACTTTCATGTATACTCTAGTCTTACTTCATTTAATCTCAGGGACATGTTCTGAGGAAGATATCCATCCTTAAGCAAGTTCACTTTTGTGACAACACAGTAGTGTATTTGATACATAAACCTAGGTAGTATATATGTGTGCCTATGTTTATAGCAGCACAATTTGTGATAGCCAAATCTTGGAAACAACCAAGATGCCCATCACCTGAGGAATGGATGAAAAAGATGTGGTATTTTTATATGATGGAATATTACTCGGCTATTAAGAATGATAAACTGCAAGCCTTTATATTGAAGTGGATGCCACTTGAACATATACTCATAAATGAAATAAACCAGACACACGTGTAAATATCATATAGTTTCCCTAGTATAAGAACTCAAAAGAAGAAATACAAATAGAAAGGTATAATTCAAGTAAAAGGAAAGCAGGATCTCGAGGACTAATCGAGAGAGGGAAAGGAAAAGAGCTAGGAAACATGACAATGACAAGCCATACAGTTATATGTAGAAGATGGGCAAGGCAATGATCCTGAGACTCTCCAGAAGATTTTTGAATCTAGCAGTTAATTGGAAAGATTCTCACCCTGACTAACTATATATACTGATACCTGTGAACTAAGCAACTGCACTGAAGATGGTAATCTTAATAGCAGTTCCATGCTTGCAGTGCCCGTCATTCTGGTCTTCTGAATATGGGCTGCTTGTCATGACATGCTAGTGCATGTCTGTGCTGTCTCTCGGGTAGATGATTGTTCAAAAAGAAGGGGGTGGTGAATGAAGGCAAGATAGGAAAGGAATAGTGTGGGACTGTCCTGCTTCAAGGTTGTATATGGTTAGATTTTTGGGCTTATGTATAAACATAAGGAGTATGTAATTCTTTATGCCTATGTTTAAAAATATGTTTTAATTTTTAAATGTTTTTTCCTCATATTTTGTAGGTACTTAAAGTTCAACATATCAATACTTGATGAAAAATACCTGTTCCATGTTATGCCTAAGATGTTTGATATTCAGACAGATAGTGAGGTTAAGCTTAACAGCCTAGGCTGTATGGTAATAACAATAAGCTTGTCTTCTGGATGGTCAACAACCTAAGTTTGCAGACCAAAATTAGAGAAAAGGAGGGCCACAAGGAAAGCCAACATGTTGGCCCTAGCCTTCTAAGGTCAACTAAGACTCAGGACATATGAGAACTTGTACTATAATGTCATGTAACTCGGTAGTGTCCCTAATTTTCTGATCAAGGAGATTATGGGGCCAAAGAGGAAAGTGATCAATGATGTAGAGTGTGCCTAGGGAGAGTCACATGGAGAGAGGACATTCTCTTAGGCTTTCACAGAGAGCACAATGGCCAAGCCATGGTCGTGACTCATCCACATGGCTGCACTGACAAAGGATCTACAATCTGAGGTACAGGATCTCAGGATAAATCCTGAGGGGATTTCACTGACCTTATCAGATCCAAAAGCTACAACTCTTGTTGCATAGGTCCTGCTTTACCTTGGTCTTAACCATCCAGCAGAAAAGTATAAAAACGAAATATAAGAAGTAAAGCCATGCTGTTATGTTGAGCTGTAGGGGACTCAGGTCAACAATTTCTGACATTGCCAGTCAAGCGGAATACCCAATACTATTATGGGCTACCGGACTCTTTTAGAACGTTTTGCTGAGTTTACACACCTATAATATTCAAATAACAGAACTTAACAAAAAAAGGGGATACAGATGAATGTCCATTCTGTATCTGTGTATTCAAAGTGGTTAGGATAGATATATAGTTACATTCTCTTAATGAATAGAGTGATTTGTTCTCATGGTGTTTGTAAGTAGGATATCATGTCCGCATCTTGTACAGCAATTAATCACTAGGAAGAATGTATGCAATGTGTTAATTATTGAAACTGTCCTACCAATTTGGTTTGAAACAGTCTCGTTGCTATTTGTTTCTCAATAAAATTATGGAAAAATAATATAAATTAAAAAAAAATAAACCTAGGTAGTATAGTCTATTATGATCATATAATTATAGATTAGTACTCAAAAGCTTTAAACTTGTACAGCACACTGTAGTAACATAAGAACTATAAGGTAACAGTATTTTGTGTATCTAAATATAGAAACACTATAGTAAAACAATTTCCAGCTATAATGCAGTTCATAGAGTGACTGCCACATATGTAGTCCAGTGATGGCAAACGTTTCAGAGACTGAGTACCAAACTGCAACCTCAAACCCACACACTGAGAAGTGCCAACACTACAATTAAACTTAAATACTGGGCCGGGGAGATAGCTTGGTGGTCTAAGCGCCTGCCCGGCAAGCCCAAGGATTTGGGTTTTATCCCTGGTACCACATGCCGTGCTGGTCTCCGAAACTGGGTGTTGTGGTGCACACTTGTAATCCCAGCACTGAAGAGGCTGAGACAGAAGGATCATGACGAGTCTGAGCTGCAAGGTGAAACCTAGTACCAAATACATGTATTTTTTTTAAAAAGAAACCCTGAACACTAAAATTTTAGTTCAGAAAAACACAATAACATGCTTACCACTGATATACTTCATTGTTGACTGAAATGTAATGTAGCATGACTTCTATTTTTTTGGATTTAGTACAGTCTACAGGGTCTACAGGGTCTCACTATGTAGTTTGGACTCGTAGTGATTCTCCTGTTTACAGCCTCCCAAGTGCTGGGATTACAGGCGCACACTACCACACCCAGTCTCAACCACTGTCTCAGTGCATCCTGGAGGCAGGGCCAGGACGGGCCCTGCATCTGCTTAAGAAGGTGCTTTAATCCACTGAGCTATTTAGCCAGCCCTATTTTTGCTTTTCACAATGAACTCTATTCTTTCTTTTTTGCTGTAAAAGACCTATTAATATCTGTATTAAATTAGTACCACCAACTTTGTATTAGATAAAATGCCAAATAAACTAGACTAATATACTATATAACTCATCATGTATATAAGGTTAAATCTCTAAATAAAAAAATCTATAATAATCAAAAATACAGCTATATGTGATAAATATACTTATGCATTAAAAAGTAAATGCTGCGAGGTAGTGACATTTTCTTCTGTAATCTAGTAACAAAACTTGGTACCTCTGTTTCCTACTTTTTCATTAGTTCAAGTTTATATTAAGTTATTTGAAAAATGTTAACATATTTCAAAAAGTACTCGAATATACCTGCAGTAGAAGTTTGCAAATTTCATATTTTCCTTTTGCTGCAGCTTCATGTAAAGGTGTAAATTTCCACAAATCAGCTACATTAACTACTGCTCCATGCTTAACAAGAAGTTCTGCAACTTCATAATGTCCATAAGAACACGCATTGTGCAAAGGTACAAGGCCTCTGAAATGAAAAGTTAAATGAGCAGCAATACTAAATACAATTTAATTTCAATTACTATATATACATAATGAAAGATATTTCTTGACTTGTATGAGGGATTATATTGATTGTACTTTGCAGAATCTAAATGTACTGAAAATATAATTTTTTCAGGGAGAAGGGAAAAAAATTAAAACGGGCAAAATTCAAATTATCTTTAATAAACACTGAAAAATTTAATTAGAAATCATTATCACAATGTTTTTATATCTTTAGCCATCATAATTTGCATGGGTTTTTTTGGACAGGCTTTCACTATATAGTTCTTCTGGCCTTTAACTCATTATATAGCCCAAGCTGGCCTTGAACTCACAGAGATCTTCCTGTCTCAGCTTCCCAAGCGCTGGGATTACAGGCATGCCTCACCATTGTTTGCTGAGTTGTCATAAAACTGTAAGGCATTATGCAGATGAAGTCTAAAAATAAATCCTAATCATTGTGTGGTGTGTGTGTATAGTTACCAAGGATCGAATCTAGGGCTGTGGCCATGCAAGACAAGTATGTATCCTACCACTGTCCCCATCATAAAATCTTAAATGAAATTTTAGTAACTATATTTTTATTTTTATTTTTAATTTTTTTGTGGAACCGGGGATTGAACTCAGACCCTTGCACTTGCTAGGGAAGTGCTTATTCCACTGAACCATCTCGCCAGCCCCTAGTAACTATATTTTTAGCAATTTTAGGAAATAACTCCTTGAAAATAAAGAGAACTACTATCAGAAAAATGATTTCATAAAAAGGCTGATAAAGGTAAAGAGAAGCAGGAAAACTTTTAGTACTTACCCTTTATCTTTAGCATGCACATCAGCTCCATGCTGCAGCAGATATTCTACTACAGACACCCTGTTATACCCAGCTGCAAAATGAAGTGGTGTAGACTGACGCCCTTCAATGTCTCTGCAATTGACACTCTGAACAGTACACAGTTTCTGCAGGATCAAACACAATATACATGTGATGCTACATATTCTTATTTCAACTTACATAGTAGAAAAAACTTGTCTGATTTTTCTTTAATATACTTAAAATATTTTTAATTATTATTTACTGAGAACTCATGTGATTCTCTGATCTACACCTGTATCTTCTACTTTTTTTGTGAAGTCAGTAGGTAAATTTTTATCAGTACTACAACTACAACATAAAAATACCCTGATATAAATACTACTATCATTGTATGGCAAATACAGGTAGAGATCATAGGAGCACCAGTATCACCAAGGGGAATGTTGAAAGTTTAGAATCTGAAACCCCTACTCACTGAATCAGATTAAAGTTTAAGAAGTATTGCTTTAGACCAATGGTTCTCAAACTTTCATGTGCATTGGAATCTCATTTCTAGATTTTAAACTTATTGTGCTTTGAATGGGACTTGAAAATCTGCATTTCTAGCAAGTTTCGAGGTGATGCTGGTGGTCAAGGAATTAGAACAAATAATGTACTATATACAATGAACTAACAGAATGCCACTGGTTATGAACCATCCTTCACAGGACAAAGAAAATGGGTATTCAAATAATTTGTGTTCTTTGGTTCAAATGACCTAGTTGATAAATGCTCACTTCAAAAAACACTCAAGAGTCTGGGGAGATAGCTCAGCAAGCACAAGGGCCTGAGTTCAATCCCCAGTTCCACCAAAAAAAAAAAAAAAAATCCACTAAAACTACGCAAGAATATTTTACATGAAAAATAGCAAGTGTGAGAAAAGGAAAGCAACACAAAATAATAATGCTCAAAGATCAAAAGAATTTCAATATTAGTAACAATTCTACCTTTTTCACTATCACACCTTAAAAGCAGAGAACTCAAAGAGCCAGTACTATTAGTGGTCACAGCTCACTGGTTTAAATTACTAGACCGATAAAACTTTTCTGTACTTCCTAAACAAGAATTTGTTAGATATACAGATGCAAGGTCCTGTTCAAGAGATGATGTTAAAAACTAAACAGTGGGTCTGAAGTTGGACCTCAGGAATCTTTTTAATATGGGTACCAGGTACTTGCTAGTTTGGGTGGTTATCACAGGTTATTCTCCACTCTACTGCTAGTTTAACATGTTTTCTAATAGTAGACGTTCAGTAAATTTCCTCCTCATGGATTAGCACTAAATAAACAACAGTGCACAATTAAATGTTCACTGGGTAATATACAGATATTCTTATCCTGGTGATCCATATGGAGCCACCTGTCTAAAGACAGGAAAGGTACAGAAAGACTGGTGAAGATACATTTCCATCGAGTGATTCAGAATCAGGAAGACAGCTTAATACCTATCACAGGGAGAGACAATCTTTAATCTAATGACATTATTTTGTTTTCTAAGTCCAATTCCTGCCTCAACCTGTTTTCTTCATTCATCTCTTCCTCTAGACCACTTTGATCATGAAATTAAAGTCAGTCTTTACTACTGTATTTACTAAGTATAATTTTACATTCTTCAATTTATTACTTGGCTTACCAAAACTCAACGAAAAACAAATTATTTGAGATGTCTATACTACTCATCAATTCCAGAGGCTGTTCATTTAAACAATCAAGTGAATAAATTTTCTCTATCAAAATATGGTGAAATTATTCCAAATAGTTATTTCTGCCAAAAGTTGAATAAGTAATTGTAGCTTTTATAAAACTTATTATTCATTACTGCCCCTTCAACTTAGACCATCATAGTTTTGGAAAGTCTTGAAGCAGGAAAACATACAAAACTTTTCTCAGGCCAGGGAGACAGCTCAGTGGCTTAAACACCTGTCTGGCAAGTGCAAGTTCAAAAATTTTCTTACCTACTAGCTTTAAGAATGAAAACATGATTGCATTACTGAAGAAGTATTTAATTTGTGGCAAATGCTGAGTTAATTCTAATTTATATTAGCTAAGTTGAAAGCAGTCCTGCTCTTTCAAAACATAAGGTTTTTATCTATCTAGATACATTCTGTAAATAACAGAAATACCAGGTATAGAGTTAAGACATTACATATATTTGTATGGTGAAACACAAATAGAATCTGAGGAAAGTTTATCTGCTGTAGAAAGTGGAGACATGATCTGAAATTGACTGATGGAAAAAAAGATCTTGATTTAGATAAATTGAAGATTATTAGGCAACAACGGCTCTAGGAAGTGGCAACACAGGCCCTGAGAAGGATGAGCAGAAATCTATACAAAGAATGACTTTTCCCCTTGTTTTATGACATGCTGTAGGTTAACAGTAGTGGATGGTATTTTTTTTTTTTTTTTTTTTTTTTGTGGATAGCAATGTGATACACCTTATTCTTTCACAGGGATGAACAAGTTCTTTAAGCAAAACCCATTTTGTATTGCATCAAGTTTGTACAACTTTGTAAATGTACTGAGATGGGTGTTAAAGAGTCTTTTTCAGTACTCAGTCTTCTTTGTAGAAAATTAGGTATCTCTGTCCTTTAAAAGGGACATTTAAATAAAGCAAACTCTTCATTTTAACAATGCAGATTCATCGCAGTAAAATAAAAACCCAAAGGTTACAAGAGTTTATGAGATCATTTCTTACTTTTACAGTTTCTACATCTCCAGCCTTCGCAGCTTCCAGCAACTGTCTGTCTGCTTCTGAATTACCTAATGGGATACCCTCTAAAAAGGGAGGAAAGAGGAATAGAGTGATTAACTTACATTTAGAAACCAAGATCAAGGTTTCAGAGGGAGGTTTTATCAAAAAGTAAATTAAAAATATTGAAGTGTGTATAATTATAAAATGTAACTTAAGCAACACAAAAGAACATAAATGATAATGAAAGCTGACCTGCTTAATAATCATGACATGTAGTATTCTGGAAAGTTATTAGGAGGGCAAAAGCCAGAAATCAAACTATGGTTCCGGTATTAACTAGGGCAAGCCTCTTACTCTGAATAGTGGCAAAGAGTTTTAACTTTCTGAGTCTCAGGTTTTTTTCAGCTCTGAAGAGCAAAGTTGAAACAAAAATATCTAACATTATTTCCAGGTCCGCAATTGTGCTTTGTATCTATTTCATTTAAGATTTCAGGGAAAAAAAGGGAGTATCTACTTTATATCTTAGAACCAAATAAGCTCTAGATAAAACCTTAAAATAACCATAAGAAAACACAAATGATTTTGTATCTGGACAGAAAAGGTTCTTAGAGCAGTGTATTAAAGGGAGGAATCTTGTCCCTAAACCTCTCAGATGGTAACACAGCATTAAACAAAATCATAAGGCAAAGAACAAAATGAAAAAAAAAAATACAGCAGCACGCATTATGAGAAATGGCAAAAACCACTGATCTTTTGTATTCACTAGTAAACAGGAAAAAGAAATAGGAATTTATACTGATATTTCTAGTTTGCACTAAAAAAACCCTATTCTTTGAATTCACAAAATGAACATTCACCTATGGAAAAAATATCAATAATCACACCTAGTGCTGACAAGAAAAACAGGTCCTTAAATTCTTAATACAAGTGTAAAATGGTACATATAACCCTTTTAGAAGAAAAACTGACAATTATATGCTACCCTTTGATCTAGTAATTTCACTTGAATAATTTATTTCAAGAAACTAGCTCAAAAGTGAAGCTATGTATAAGAAATAGTATTTAGTATAAAACTGACAAGGTCATAATTTTTTTTCCAGACAGGGTCTTGCTGTAGTTCAGGCTGGCCTTGAACTACGTAGTCCAGCTTGGCCACACACTTGTAGCAATCCTCTTGCCTCAGCCTCTCAATTGTTGGGATTATAGGTGTACCCAAGGCAGTAAGTAGACAAATTAATCGTGCTAGTGTTATCATCCCTAATCAAATGAGTTTGGTATGGAAAAATAAAGGTATTCTTGAAAGCAATCTTCTATTTAAATTCAGTTTTGGAAGGGGTGTATCAACTTGCTTAATTCACACAATCAGTATTTCGCTGTAGTATTCTACTGTTTACTAGACCTCAGGTGTACAAATCATCAAGGATGAATGCTAAGAACAGAAGAATCTTTCTTTTTTAGTTTTAACCTGAGTTTTGAGACATCAAAGATACTGCATTAGATTCTTTAGGCAAGTGCTATTTTTAAGGACTGAGGAAGTAGTTTAGAAACAGAGCACTTGCCTGTTATGTATGAGGCCCCCAGTTTAATCCCCAGCAATGGAGAAAAAAATAAAAGACCTTGAAATGTATGGGACCAGATTTCTATGTTGAATGTGTATGCCAATGGTGCAGATGAAATGTAGTAAGTATAAGCACAATCAATAATGATTATCTTATGCAAATTCTATATGCTTTAAATACATAGGATCTAAAGAGGAATGAAGAAATAGGGCCAGTATTTAGAGTACTACATATTATTAGAGTTGCTGTACTAAAAGACCTTCACCTTTTAAACATTTCCTTCTTTTAAAAGCACCATTTTATGATGGGTGTTTTTAATTCTAGCTGCTGGGGGAGTGAGGCAGGAGGATTCCAAACTCTAGGCCAGCTTGGGCAACTGATCCAGCTCCTGTCTCAAAATAAAATTTGAATAAAGGGACTGGATATAGTTTAGTGGAAAAGTGCTTGCCTAACACACAATGGGTTTAATGTTCATTTTCCCTTCCCCTCAGGAACTATTTTATCTGTTCTTGACAGAAATTTGACAGCCACTTATTCACTCAGAGACAGGGCAGAAAATGCAACAAGAACAAATGACTTAATGACATTTGGACATTAACTATAAGTTTTCAAGATGAATTAATAAAGAGCCAAAAACTCATTATCAAATACTACACACAGTACTCAATATATATTAAAAAAACAATTAAAAAATTAATGTCATGGAAGCATTTAATACCTTGGAGCACTTGCTGGATATTTTCATTTCCCATCTGCAGTGCAGTAAAGCCCTGCAGGGATATAATGTTAGGATCACACCCGTAGCTCAGAAGTAGGCGGCATGTTTGTAGATGACCACAATGTGCAGCTCTGTGCAGAGATGTCTGACCAAGATTATCTAGAGCATTGACCTTAACAACGCAGAAAAAGTTGATTTTAGCCTTTAGTGCAAGTTTTAAAACCATAAAAATCATGTAAATCATGTTACTAATTTACAAATTTCAATAGATTATCCAGTGCTAAAGCAAGGATTTATTGCCCAAATCCAGAGCATAAATTCACCAATTCCTGAGGGCTGACATGAGAAGCCCAACCCCATTTTGGGTAACAATGTGAGATGTTCAGTATCTGTTGCTAGCATTAAAGCATTCAGATTCAAGTATTTAGAGTGAGACACTCCTAACAAGGCTGAATTCATGTATGTTTTGGATCTCTGAGGTCTAGAAAAGTAGAGATTAACCCTAGAGCAAACCATAGTCAGGAGCAAAGCCAGAGACAAATTAGCATTAAAATACTTCTTTGGCTTAATTTTCTACTAACTTACAGTATAAAATATAATTCTTACAGAGATGTGGTAGACCCACACAATGCAACAATACAATGGAACAGCTGCTGGTAGGTAGATCAATCTCCAAAGAAAGAGCTTACATAGGAAGAGTATATGAATATGAAGGCCTAGAACAGGCAAATCTAATCTATGTCATAAAAAATAAAAACTGTTATCCCTAGAGATGAAGATTGCCTGAGATGGGAACAAGAGGAGATGTTCTCTGTCTTGATAGAGAAGTTTTGGTTACACAGATGCATGAATTTGCCAAAATTCAGCATACATGTAAGAGTTAATATCTATGCATTTCATTTCATGTAAATAATATCTAAACAAAAACTAAAATATTTAATTTAATTGATGTGTATATAAAGGTATTTGGGGGAAATATACAGTAATCTGCTAATTTTATTGATGTCAAAATTAAGATATATTGAATACATATAACTACAGTAAAAAGTGACAGATGGCACATAATTATTTTCTGTAAAACTCATGTTGGTTATATCTCTGAAAAATTTCACAAGAAACACAGATCACCTTTACCTCTCATTACAATAACTTATCAAAATATAACTGAGAAATTAAGTTTCTCATTAAACAATGCTGTGTCTACTGGTGTGTTTTAAGGCACTGGTCAACTAATATTCATGGAATCAGACAATATTTGAAGAGGAATACACCTTCTCAACAAATATATAACTGGACTACACATAGTCTCCATGCTTACAGATCTGCAAAATATATTTAAAATACCAAGGCAATTAAACTATTTATTCATATACCCAAACTCACATAAGTGAGAAAAGCATCTACTTGATAACATTATTCCGGTACCACTGTGTCTTAAGAATAGGATGACCAATTCATCCTGGTTTCCCTAGGACTTTTTTTTTTTTTTTTTGGCGGAACAGGGGATTGAACTCAAGCTCTTGCGCTTGCCAGGCAACTGCTTATTCTACTGAGCCATATCCCCGGCCCTGGGACTTCTTTTGTTTAGCACTTAAAAGTTCTTTTTCTGGAAACCCCCAAGTCCTGGATAAAAATGAGTAATTGGTCACCCTAGTCACAATCGTCTTACTGAGTTTCAAAAATACCTGCATCCAGGTATTGTTCGATATATCACATGTATGAAAAAAACAATCAATGAAAAGATACAGAAAAGAAAGACAAATGAGATATGCCAAGCAGTCAAGTGGAAATAAACTTTATTTTGTTCAATAATTTACAACAGGAAAGATCAAGATAATACATTATCAAGAACTCCTCCAGTCAAATAGAGATTAGGATACAGAGATCAAGTAATACAGAAAGAAACTGGAAAATTCTAAGTGGTTAACTGAGTGAAGGAAGGAGAGATAAAACTATTCAGCAAAGCCTGTTTAGAGAAGGGCCTCAGGTAGTACCCAAGGGAAAGGGGTTTGTGCTTTTTTATTCTGCCTTCCTGCAGAGGACTTCCACTTCCTATTATATACGAAATTTCTATTAAAGATTTTGTAGAATCTGTGGCCACAAACTGAAAATGCTGAATTAGGCGACCCTTCTAATTTGGGATAAGTATATGTTTCACTATGTAGCATTTTTCAAAAAACCTGTATAAAAAATGAATGACTTCCAGCCTTGATGGAGGTACAATTATTCAATCAATAAAATGCGCTGTACACAAATGTCAACTAAAAGAACAATAGTTTATCAACATGTGTAGGTACAATGTTTCCAAATTATTTAAAGCATTCCCTTCTATTCAAATGCTTTAGATCAGTTACAAAAGTAACAAAAGCTAAAAAGACATTGCTGTGGCAAACAATAGAAGCTATTTATCATGGTAACCAAGGAATAGAAGATATGGTGTGAAATGGTGTGAAAAGATAACTGATCAGGGTCATTATTCCACTAGCTGGAGATATTCTGTTGTATACTATCCTTTTTTTGTGTGTGTGTGGCTTGCCCTCGGCCTGCCCAGGGAGTGGAGCTGGTGTGGAATATGGTGCTGGGGATTGAACCATGGTCCCTGCGGTAGCCTAAGCTTGCCTAAGCAGGTGCTTTAGACTGTTGAACTACCTTGCCAGCCCAATTGTGTACTAACCTTAAGGGTAACTTTGACTCCCCACTTCCCATGGTGTATGGTTAAAAAAGAGAGAAGGACATATACACATAACGTATATGTGAATAAAATACATCAACTTCTCCAAAAAATTTAGAAGTTACCTGCAGGACTACTTTTAATTATAAATTACAAAAGAAAAACATAATACTAATGATAAGTATTTTAGGGGGTCAGGCATTTCATCTAATAAACAGAAAAAGAACTCACTAGGTTACCAAAGATTACCAAAAAGGTAATATACCTTTGCTTCATGTTTCACCACTACTTCAACAACATCATTATGAGCTTTTTCAGATGCCACGTGCAGAGGAGTCAAGAATCTTAAAAGAGAGAGAGCCAGACAATGAGTATATTTTCCAGAGAATAAAATGTCAATAATATTTAATCATTAAAAGTATACTTACTCTTTAGTCTTTTCATTGATGTTAGCTCCTTTTCTTAGCAACAATTCACATATTTGTTTTCTTTTGGGATATGGAGATGCAGCAGCACAATGCTAAATAATTTAAATTGTAGCATTAATCGAGGACTATACATAGCTGGTTTTTACTTAAGAACACTTGTGCTTCCAATCAAGATGGGGAAACTATTTAACTTCTTTATTTTTGACCTAACTGCTTTTGATAAATTCTCTTTTGGACAAGAGGTGCAATAATTACCATATTTGGACCCAGGATAAAAATCTCACGTGCCAGATGACATTTGTTATTAAATATCTACAAAAATCTTGTCTCATTCCTTGAAGAAGCCACAACTGATATGATGAAAAACTTAATGTGAGCAACACCCCTTTTGAAACTGTTTCCATATAGCATGGTGTCTATGTTTAAAAGTTAAGAAAATACCCTTGGGATTTCTTTTTATTAATAAAAAATATTCACTGGCTCTGAAATCTCCTTTGTCAATAGTACTGACAGACTAAGTTATAGACTGAGTAGGATTTATCTATGTCAATTACTTGCTGCAGCAGAATAAAGAGGTTGGATTACCTGACTGGCATACTCAGTTTTATAAAATATGCTTGGGAGCTCCAAGCTGCAGCACTTGTACTTAAGTTCTATCAAGGAGGAAAAGGAGATAAGAGGTAGGAATTTGTCAGTTAAACCTAATACTTTGTGGTCATGGTCCATATCTTTGCAACCTCAACATACAGGAACATACTCATGGACATAAGGCATTCAGTAATGCTGGAATGACAACTAATCAATGAATGTACGTTAAAACTAAAATCTGAAAATTTATGCAATAAAAGTTCTGGCTAATTTTTAAGTAAAGCCAGTCAATATATCTAAGCACATAGTAGACATGAAATTTGTTCTCTGATTGTAACCTGTAATTATAAAGCTTATCAGATCCTCATAGCTTTGATACTCCTGTAGTTACCAAAATAATTTCTTCATCTTCAATAAAATCAAAACTAATTGGGGAACATAATTTTTTTGGCATATTAAGGGTAATAACTTCAGGACTTCTATAAGGAGAGCACAGAAAATAGTTTATTTCTAGCAATTCTTTATCACATTCACCTCAAACTACACCTACTTCCTCTGCACCATCTTAGAGCAGAGTCAAATCTCTGGAAACTGAAGAAATTGCTCCTAGAACATAAGCACCTCCAACAGTAATTCTCAGCATGTTTTAAAGTTATTTAGTGGGCCAGCCAAGAAGCTCAATGGATTAAAGCACCTGCTTAGGCAGATGCAGGGACCAGGAATTTGATACCTGGGCCTGCCGTGCTGGCCCCTGCTGAGAGAATGATTGAGAATGGGCATGGTGGTGCATGCCTGTAATCCCAGCACTTGGGAGGCTGTAAACAGGAGGATCACTATAAATCTGATCTACGCAGTGAGACCCTGTACACCCTGTCCGAAATAAAATAAAGTTATTTAATAGAAAAATAGGGCAAACAATGAAAACAACAGGTAATTAAGACACTCCTCTTCTCTATGCTTTGGCTTTTCATGGGTTTAGTTAGTTGGAATCAACCACAGTCTGAAAATATATGGGAAATTTCAGAAAGAAATAATTTTTAAGTTATAAATGGTGTGTGTTTTTGAGAAATGTGATAAAAATTTGCATCATCTTGCTTGGGATGTGAATCATCTCTTTGTCCAGTGTGTGCAGGTGATACATGCTACCTACTTGTTATTAACTTAGCAGTTGTCTTAGGCAGCAACAGATTGAGGTACCATGGTGCTCCTTTTCAACTTAACTCTTGTATTATTTAATGGCCCTAAAGTACAACAGTAGTGATACTAGGAATTTTGGTTCATCAAAGAGAAGCTATATGAAGTGTGTCCTTTAAATGAAAAGTCTCAATAAAGATAGAAAACATACTGTATGTGAGGTTGATAGGAGCTATAGCTAAGTTACTGATGTTAACTTCTTACTGTGCCTACTTTATAAATTAAACTGTATCATATGTAAAAGAATATGGCTTAGTACTATCTGTGGTTTTATGTATCCATTGGAGATATAAGAAAATAGTCCCCGTAGAAACAGGAAATTTCTGTTTCAGTTTCCAAACTAAAACTTTTCCATGTTAGGCTTTCCAAGTTTCTCTGAATCGTTTGAGTGCCTTTGTAGTATTAATCTTGTATTAACTTATATTAGTCTACAGCTTTACTTTTTTACTTGCATTGTTTTTAAGAAGTAGCAAAAAGATTGAAAATATTTATAAGTAAACTTCTACATGAACATTCAGTTTATATTAAGGCATAAGGATAAAAATTTATTATAAAAAAGACTACTAGCTAAGGCTACCATAAGTGAAATATGCTAATACATCAACTTATAAATTTTCTCCCAGCTAAAGTGCATTTTGCAATTCATGAAAGAGTTTTTCTTTTTTTTTGGTGGTACCAGGGACCAAACTTAGGACCTTGTGCCTTATCCCACTGAGCTATCTCACCAGCCCACAAGAGTTTTTCTTTACAAATTGCTACTTTCAAGGTAATCCCTGATTTTAGCCTGCCTGCCTTCCTTTTCTTTCTTTTTTGTGTGGCTGGCTCAGCCTGACACATGTGGTGCCAGGATTGAACTGTGGTCCTTACACACTTGCCTAAGCAGGTGCTTTAGACCGCTGAGCTATTTCACCAGCCCTCCTGTTTCTATATTCTGTCACTTATCCTAACACCTATCAAATTTTTCTACTCATCTCTATGTTGTTGTATCTCCATAGTGTTGTTACTGCCATTAGGGAAGTAACCTTTAAGATACTTCACATTTTAGACCTATTTCTGAAAAAATATTGCAAAACTTGAAGGAAACACACCAAACGTTTTATTTTGAGATTGAGTCTTATTATGTTGCCCAGGCTAGCTTTGAGCTCTTCATTTTCTTATTTCACAGGTAGCTGGGACTACAGGCTTTTTTTCTGGATGGTGGCATTATTTTCTCATTATTTTCAGTGAGTTTCAAATTTTCTAATGTAAGCATTTAAACCCCTCAAGTGGCAAATGATACATATCACATGTAATACAAAAATTACATATATAATGTACCAGATACATGAAGAAAATTTTTCTTGAATAGATTCTCAAATTTAAAATGAAACTGCCTTTGAGAAAAGAGGCTATTCTTTGAAATTTTTCTTTTTATATATGTGCACACTACTTTTAATTTTTAAAAATTATAGATTTTTAAGAATTAAGTTTAAAACATTACCAATGCTGTTTCATGTGTTTGAGGATGCTTGAAATTCACCATTTCCAGAGAGAGATGTTTCTTGATTCGTGTAACATCAGCTTCCCGTGCAGCCTGCAGCAATGAATGGCCTTTAAATTCATCTAGATGAAGAAACATTTAAGGCACAGGAAAATTAGCAAACAAATGATGCCTTTCCTAGTAAAAGACAACTAGGATTTTTCTCAAAGTTATTTTCAAACCAGTCTTTCAAAATAGCTAGACTGGGGCTCTGTAGCGATTCTCAAAATATAGCTCTGGAAAAGTCGTAATGGTACTCCAGTCCCCTCCATAAGGTTCAGTTTATCCAGGAGTCTACACAGATTAAGGGCATAGCAGACAGTTGGTCTGCTCTCTTTCACAAAGGGTTTACAGTACATTAGAGTGCTGTAAAACATACCCAGACCAGGGTTTTGTGAATATTCCAAAGCACAGAATTTTTCTCAGTAAAAAATAAAACAAAGGGGGACCGGGGAGATAGCTCAGTAGAATAAGTGCCTGCCTGGCAAGCGCAGGAAGTTCAATACCCGGTACTGCAAAAAATAAATAAATAAAATAAATAAATAAAACCAGAGGGCGATCATCATCCCTACATTAACACTATGGCAGTGGCAGACTGGCTCAAGTCTATAACGAGGACTGGATGAGTTGCTTACCACAATAAAAAGAGCATTTTCTCAAGGTTTCTCTTGTACTCATCAGACTTGTGAAACTACCCATTATCCTTTATTATTCTACAATACAAGCTATTTATACGTATAAAAACTAAATCTGAACTGGGTAATCATTTTTTTCTGTCTACTTCAAAAGAACCACAGAACTCAGCCCAGATACCAAATAGTAAATGTTAGGATGTGGGGACCAGCTGAGAGTGGTGGTACATTCCTCTAACTGCCATAGTCAAGAGGCAGAGGAAGGAAGATCTTGAGTTTAAGGTCATGTGAGACACATAGCAAGACCCTCTCTCAAAAAAACAAAGACTTGGGAGAATGGTTTGTGCTTATATTATTTCATTTATTACATTTATGCCTTGTAATCTGAGCAACTACTTTAAAGATAATATGCAATATATTAATCACTATTAGTCTACTATCATGTTTTGAAATTATGCATCATTTTTTTCTCTTTAAAAAAAGACCTGGGGAGCCGGCCAAACAGCTCAGCAGACTAAAGTGCCTGATTAGGCAGAGCGCAATGGCCAGGGTTCGATCCATGGCCTATGCCGGCCCCGCCCCTGAGTCGCTGAGATGGTGATTGAGACTGGGTGTAGTGGCGCATGCCTATAATCCCAGCTCCTGGGA